TTGCCAATCAAAAATTAAAAAACAAAAAATTTTAAAATCGGAACATTGAAAAACCGAAAAATTGAAGAAATTAAAAATTACAAAATCTAAAAATTGAAACATCCTAAAGTTGGAAATTCGAAGAAATGAAAAATTAAAAGGTTGAAACATTGCAAAATCAAAAACTGAAAAAACGAAAAATTGAAAACATTGAAATTGAAAAATAAATTATAAAAACGAATAATTCAAAAACTAAAAATCGAAAGAAAAAAAATGCCAATCAAAAATTGAAAAACAAAAAAAAATGAAAAATCGCAAAGTGCAGTTCGAAAAATTTCGTATTATAAGAAACAAAAATTGCAAAAATCAGAACATAAAGAAAATAAAAAACCAAGACGAAAAATTGAGAAATTAAAAAATTGCAAAATCTAAAAATTGAAATATCCAAAAGTTAGAAATTCGAAAAATTGAAAATTTTGAAAATGAAAATTCGGGGAGGTTGCATGTCGTAAAATTGAAGAAACAAAAAATTGTTGAAAAAATTTAAATTGAAAAAACAAAAAATGATAAAGTCGGAACATTGAAAAACCGAAAAATTGTAAAAATGAAGAAAATCAAAAACCGAAACAAAAAGTTATAAAATCCAAACATTGAAGGAATGAAAAATTACAAAATCTAAAAATTGGAACATCCAAAGTTGGAAAATCGAAAAACTGAAAAATTTTAAAATGAAAACTCGTAAAATTGAAAAAATATAAGATCAAATTGAAAAAACTGAAGAAACGAAAAATCGAACAATTGAAATAATAAAGAAAATAAAACACAGAACCAAAAAATTACAAATCGAAAAATTGAAAAATTAAATATCCAGAAATTCAAAAACTAAAAATCGAAAGATTAAAAATCGAAAACTTAAAAATGGAATGAATGAAAGTTTTAAAATCCAATAATTGAAAAATGGAAAAATCATAAAATTGAAAAATCGAAAAGTGCAGTTCGAAAAATTGAAAATTTTCGCATTAAAAGAAACAAAAATTACCAAAATCAGAACATAAAGAAAATAAAAAACTGAACCGGAAAATTGAAGAAATGAAAAATTCCAAAATCTAAAAATTGAAACATCCAAAAGTTAGAAAATCGAAAAACCGGAAATTTTGAAAATGAAAACTCGGGAAAGTTGTATGTCGTAAAATTGAAGAAATAAAAAATTATAAATCGAAAATGTGAAGAAATGAAAAATTAAAAGATCGAAACATTGCAAAATCAAAAACTGAAGAAACGAAAAATCGAATAATTGAAATAATAAAGAAAATAAAACACAGAACCAAATATTACAAATCGAAAAATTGAAAAATTAAATATCAAGAAATTCAAAAACTAAAAATCGAAAGATTAAAAATGGAATAAATGAAAGTTTTAAAATCCAATAATTGAAAAATGGAAAAATCATAAAATTGAAAAATCGAAAAGTGCAGTTCGAAAAATTGAAAATTTTCGCATTAAAACACACAAAAATTACCAAAAGCAGAACATAAAGAAAATAAAAAACCGAAACGAAAAATTGAAGAAATGAAAAATTCCAAAATCTAAAAATTGGAACATCCAAAAGTAGAAAATCAAAAAATCGGAAATTTTGAAAATGAAAACTCGGGAAAGTTGTATGTCGTAAAATTGAAGAAATAAAAAATTATAAATCAAATGAAAAATTAAAAGATCGAAACATTGCAAAATCAAAAACTGAAGGAACGAAAAATCGAATAATTGAAATAATAAAGAAAATAAAACACAGAACCAAAAAATTACAAATCGAAAAATTGAAAAATTAAATATCAAGAAATTCAAAAACTAAAAATCGAAAGATTAAAAATCGAAAACTTAAAAATGGAATGAATGAAAGTTTTAAAATCCAATAATTGAAAAATGGAAAAATCATAAAATTGAAAAATCGAAAAGTGCAGTTCGAAAAATTGAAAATTTTCGCATTAAAAGAAACAAAAATTACCAAAATCAGAACATAAAGAAAATAAAAAACTGAACCGGAAAATTGAAGAAATGAAAAATTCCAAAATCTAAAAATTGAAACATCCAAAAGTTAGAAAATCGAAAAACCGGAAATTTTGAAAATGAAAACTCGGGAAAGTTGTATGTCGTAAAATTGAAGAAATAAAAAATTATAAATCGAAAATGTGAAGAAATGAAAAATTAAAAGATCGAAACATTGCAAAATCAAAAACTGAAGAAACGAAAAATCGAATAATTGAAATAATAAAGAAAATAAAACACAGAACCAAATATTACAAATCGAAAAATTGAAAAATTAAATATCAAGAAATTCAAAAACTAAAAATCGAAAGATTAAAAATGGAATAAATGAAAGTTTTAAAATCCAATAATTGAAAAATGGAAAAATCATAAAATTGAAAAATCGAAAAGTGCAGTTCGAAAAATTGAAAATTTTCGCATTAAAACACACAAAAATTACCAAAAGCAGAACATAAAGAAAATAAAAAACCGAAACGAAAAATTGAAGAAATGAAAAATTCCAAAATCTAAAAATTGGAACATCCAAAAGTAGAAAATCAAAAAATCGGAAATTTTGAAAATGAAAACTCGGGAAAGTTGTATGTCGTAAAATTGAAGAAATAAAAAATTATAAATCAAATGAAAAATTAAAAGATCGAAACATTGCAAAATCAAAAACTGAAGGAACGAAAAATCGAATAATTGAAATAATAAAGAAAATAAAACACAGAACCAAAAAATTACAAATCGAAAAATTGAAAAATTAAATATCAAGAAATTCAAAAACTAAAAATCGAAAGATTAAAAATCGAAAACTTAAAAATGGAATGAATGAAAGTTTTAAAATCCAATAATTGAAAAATGGAAAAATCATAAAATTGAAAAATCGAAAAGTGCAGTTCGAAAAATTGAAAATTTTCGCATTAAAAGAAACAAAAATTACCAAAATCAGAACATAAAGAAAATAAAAAACCGAACCGGAAAATTGAAAAACCGGAAATTTTTAAAATGAAAACTCGGGAAAGTTGTATGACGTAAAATTGAGTAAATAAAAAATTATAAATCGAAAATGTGAAGAAATGAAAAATTAAAAGATCGAAATATTGCAAAATCAAAAACTGAAGAAACGAAAAATCGAATATTTGAAATAATAAAGAAAATGAAACACAGAACCAAAAAATTACAAATCGAAAAATTGAAAAATTAAATATCAAGAAATTCAAAAACTAAAAATCGAAAACTCAAAAATGGAATAAATGAAAGTTTTAAAATCCAATAATTGAAAAATGGAAACATCATAAAATTGAAAAATCTAAAAGTGCAGTTCGAAAAATTGAAAATTTTCGCATTAAAAGAAACAAAAATTACGAAAATGAGAACATAAAGAAAATAAAAAAGCGAAACGAAAAATTGAAGAAATGAAAAATTCCAAAACTAAAAATTGAAACATCCAAAAGTTAGAAAATTGAAAACCGAAGATTTTGAAAATGAAGACTCGAGAAAGTTGCATGTCGTAAAATTGAAGAAACGAAAAATAGTAAAAAACCGAAACGAATAATTATAAAATCAAAAATATAAGAAATCAAAAATTACAAAATTTAAAAATTGGAACATCCAAAGTTGGAAAAACGAAAAACTGAAAAATTTGAAAATGAAAACTCCAAAGAGTTAAAAAATTATAATTAAAAAATTTGAAGAAATGAAAAATTAAAAAACCGAAACATTGCAAAATCAAAAACTGAAAAAACGAAAAATTGAAAAAATTGGAATTGAAAAAAACACAAAAAATTATAAAATCGAAAACCTGAAAAATTTAAGCTTGAAAATTCGAAAAACTGAAGAAACAAAAAAAAATGAAAAACCGAGCAATTGAAAAATTCAAATCAAGCAAAGGGTATCAGAAAACAAAAATTGCAAAAAAAATATAATTTTTCAAAGAAGTGGGAATTGTTGGCTGTACTTCGGGGGCGAGGGAAGTTCTTTCGAAATAACCTTCAACCAATTTTTATACTATGAAATTTCTTGTTCTACAAAATCAAGTATGTATTTTGACGTCCTTTCAATGCATTGACCTGTGTTTTTTAAAATTGGACATAGGGACCAAATATGGGTATGTTCAGGGTTAAAAAAATCCCGGTATATGTAAGGGGTGTGAATCTGTGTATCCACCAATACAAATTAATTATCACAAAATAAAAAAAAATAATTAAAGCCAATTGAAAGAAATTTTATTAGGTCCTTGTGTAAGACAGTTTCACAAAATGTCAAATAGGGTTTATCATTTTTATTAGAAAGATGTATTATTTTTTGTAAGGCAGATAAGGGAAAAGGAATCAATCAAACGCATATTTAGTTAACTTCGTTTTGTTCAATTCTTTGATAAAAATTTCTAATTTTATCCAAGTGAGGTGCATACCTGTGAAAAGTACAATTTCGTGTGCAGTTTTATTTCAGTTCCGTGGATTCTTTCGGACGTTATTCAACAATTCGACAACGTTCCAACACATTTTACGCAAAGTTTGTTCTCTTTAAAACAAAGACACAACTGAACCAGCTTGAAAAATAAAGCAAGATTTAATTAACATTGTGGATACGGTATTTCAAATGACATATGTCAATAATTGACGTAAGATATCCATGCCTACTATGTGGATTGTGCATCGTCAATGAAATCAAAAATACTTTAGAAAACCTGAAATATCACAAAATTATACCAATGGATGTATGGAAGTATTATATTAGTAAAAAAAAAAGTTGTTGAAACTTCATTATTATTTAAACAAATTTTGTATTAAGAAATGCAGTTAATAATATACCAGCATAATCACAGCAGTGGGCTCTACTTCGAAACCACCCAACTTGACACCAGATGCCGACCCTTTTCGCCAACAAGGTTAGCATCATCAGGACGTATAATTTAACGTGTTACTAAAATCTAAAACTACTGCACAACTAATTCGTTCGTGTTTATGAGAAGTGATGTTTTGGTTGGTTTTCAGGGGGCTTGTTGCACGAACTGTCAAATGAAGGAGCCCGCTGCCAATTCGAAGTTTTCCTCGAGGATCTCATCCTCCCTCTAATGGTAAATTCAGCTCAAAGAGGAGACCGCGAATGCCACATTGTGGTTCTACTGGACGACGACACCGTAGACTGGGATGACCAATACCCACCCCAAATGGGCGAAGAGTATAGCCAAACCGTCAACAGTACCGCAATGTATCGATTCTTCAAATACATAGAAAACAGAGACGTTGCGAAGCAAGTTTTAAAAGACAGGGGTTTGAAGAAAATACGTCTTGGGATTGAAGGTAGACGAAACGATTAATTAACAAAGTTGTGCAAATTTTCGTTCCAGGGTATCCCACCTATAAGGAGAAGGTCAAGAAGCGTCCAGGTGGTAGAGCTGAAGTGATTTACAATTACGTCCAAAGACCGTTCATTCATATGTCTTGGGAGAAGGAGGAGGCTAAAAGCCGCCATGTTGATTTTCAGTGTGTGAAGTCAAAGAGTGTCACTAATCTGGCAGAGGCAACGGCTGATCCGGCATTGGAGCTGGATGCTAGGGGCAATCCTATTGTGGCAGTAACTATAGCTGATCCACCTCCAATGGAGATGCCGCCACTTTTACCTATAGATATGCAGCCGCTGGGGGTCGACAATGACGAAGGGGCGGTTGGTGGCCCCCAGGAGCTGGATGCAGGCGCCAATGCGCTTCCAGATGAACAGAATTGAATTTGAGGCATTGAATTCGACTGAAAACTAGTTGTATCAGTGTATGATTTTTGTTTGTTTTCAAAATACTGCCACTGCTGTTTTAGTTTGTTTTGGGCACATAATACCAATATGATATTACTATTGGATGTATTTACTTCATATTTGTATCTAAATGTGAATTTTGGTTACAGTTACCGCACATTTCAGGTTTTTCTCAATAATTGTGATCAATCCACGCCGGCACAACCTAAATGTTTCAGCAAACATGCCTAAAAGAGTACATAATTGTAGCTGTTTTGGCTGTGCCCTGCTCATAAGAAGTGAACTGTTAAAAACAACACATTCCTCTGATTTACAATGTCCAAATTTTGCGAACCCTTGAGACTGAAATTTGTAGATCATTTAATTTGCTCATTATTTTTTATTTATTTGTACATACTGTATTTTATTTGTGATTAATCTGGTAAGTTATGCTTTGCTTTTAATATGAATGTAGCTTAAGATTTTATACCTGTTGTTTTTATGAAATGCAAATAAATGGAGTTTCATTGTAGAAAAGTATTTATTTTAATCCAAAACATGTATTAACTCTTTGTATCATTATTAGTCAAAGGCTCTTGAAGTCTGAAGCAGTCGCTCACTATCTTCCATTTGTCTCCTTGTGCGGTGATAATAAAATTTTGTTGGAATGACTTAGGAACACGGTCTTGGTATCTCACAGTACCACTGACTTGAATCATGAATGTAAGTTGGCCATTCACAGCTGAATCTAGTACTGGTTGGGCGTCTAATGTGTTGATTATATGGTCTGACGTCGGCAGGTCTATGAAAAACTTCTGTATTCTTTCATTCCCATTAATTCCGTTACCATTCCATGCTAGTAGGCCTGAGTCTAGATACAACTTTGACATCAACTAAAACATTTAAAAATTTTAGAAATCATTCATATTTCGGGTAAATACCTACGTGACGTCTCTTGTCTGATGTTTCGTAGTAAAGTTTGGTAAACTCTTCAGCTACGCGACATGCTTGGTCGATTTTACTTTTGACAATCTAAAAAAAGAGACATGAAGACATAAAGTTATAAAATTCAAGACTTCCATACCTGCGTCATTTTACTGTAAATGAAGTGGCAATTACTTAAAACAAGTATTTTTTATCTGTTGACATGTACAGGTTATGTGTAGGTTATGTTTTTGCAACAACAGTGTCGCCACATGACTCACACTAAAATCCCTAAAAAAGAAAGGTGAAATTTTACAAAGGGCACTTCACGATTTCAGACAAACTGTTTGCACAAAATTCTTCTACATACCCCCTGATCACGTTCCTTACCTTCAAAAGTTGTAAGAATGCTTCCATGTGTCAGAAAAAAATATTTAGTATTTGCCCTATTAGTTGCGCCACATGTAGGCAACCAACTACACACACAGTTGAACTCGAACGAATTCCAATAACTAAATGGTCCACGGAGCAAGAAGTGCCACGTATAGGGGTATGTTTGTAATGGGGTGTCTCCACTAAAAATCCGACATTACACCTACGCGTGTTGTTGACTATAAAAAGTTAGGTTATGTTGGAAATGGCTTCCCATTTTAGAGTGTGCAAATGGGAAATTTAACAATTTTTTTCTGGCAAAAGTAAGCATTTGCACATTTGAAAGTGAGGAATGTGATCAGAGGGTGCTGTAGAAGAGTTGTGTGCAAACAGTTTGTGCGAAATCGAGAAGTGCCCTGTGGTGACCGAATTTAAATCAAATTTTTCGCTCTGAAATTAATTAACAGCGGCGCGAATTCACATTTGAATAATTTCAATTTGAAAAAAAAATAAATCACAAAAAAAATCGTTAAACATAGGCAACCTGGTGCACGGAAACGCTTGCTTGGTAGACGGACAATTAATAGCGCTTAGGGGGAGTTTTTAGTTATAGGGTTGGTTGGAAGCGCCATGGCGTAGCGTCAATCTGAATGTGCTTGTGTGAGTGTAAACACGTGGTAAGAGCTAGGTTTAAATTAGTTGGTTTGGTAGTTAATAAAATGGGAGGAAGCCTTTGTTTAACGACAATCAATTGTAGCCAACGCCACTCTGTTGTCCCCAACCCGTGCGGCTAATTCTTGCGGCCTTTTAATCGAAAATTTGCGGACTTCCGTTCAACGCGAAATACGTTCTATAAATTTGTTTCATTGTTTGTAAATTCACCAATTAAGTTAGTTTTTCTTAATCGTCAGCTAGTGCAAACACAATTTAACAGTCAGGATTATTTAAATAAACCATTTGCTAGAAGATTTCATGAAATTCACTTAGTCAGGAAAACACCTTGTTGTTTAATTACGAATAGGTTTCTGGATGCGTATAAGTAAGTGTTACATTATAACACTTCTTAATTCTTCACACAAGATTGCTAATAGTTCATTTACGGCAGTTAAACAAGTTCATTATACTGCGAACTGGCGGGGGTTATGATAATTTCTTCCTTTAGGTGGTTGTCATAGTTATCATGATTAATTCACCGAGGCATGCTCTCACAACGCTACAGATTGATTAATTCATCGACGCCTGCCCTCACAACGCTACAGATTGATTAATTCATCGAGACATGCCCTCACAACGCTACAGATTGATTACTTCATCGAGGTCCGTTCTCGCGACGCTAGAGATTAATAACATCACCGAGACGCTTTTTCCTCGCAACGATTTAAAATTTAGATCACCGAGACGCTTTTTCCCTCGGAGCGATGATTGGATATTTTTGTGTTTGTTTATTATGTGTTTTGTTGGGGTAACCAGTTCGTGGTATTTTAAACTCTCAAAGTAAATTGTTTTAAAGTAACCAATCACTTCGATCATGATATAATTTGACATAATGTAAACTCTTTGTTTGAATCATTGAAAAAGTGTGGCAATTATTAATCTCAAGTAAATTTTGTTAACCTTGCAAATTTTCACCTCATACAATATTTCTCTAATCTCACAATTTTAACCTCAGTAATTTTCCTTTGTTGTATAATTTTAATTGAACGTAAATTTCATGCTCTACAGTTTTCACCTAACATAATATTTCTATTTGTACAAGTTCATTTCACACCAAATTTTTTGTTTCATAAATCCTTGCTAAGTTTGTTTTGTAAATACTTTGTTGATGAATGTTTCTATCATATAAATTATTTGATGTCAAATTTAAGCTCACATAAGAATTATTATTTCACAAGATTGTATGGCGAATTTAAATATTGTTTATTGCTCGTTGAAACTTTAAAACTTGTTCAGTTGTTGTTAATATCAGAGTTATGAGAGATTGAACCTTTAAAAATGGAATTGAGGTTAAATAACACAGAAAATCGAGTTACTTAATTCAGGTTTTGCTTTGTTTTTATTAAATTTGTGATATTCAAATATTGCATTGACTCCAAACAGATGTATAGAATTTTGCGTCTGTTTGTTTTTCATATGTGTATGTTTGAAATGTAATATATCTGTGAATATATTACTACTTTGGGGAGTTTTGGGAATGAAGATCGATGACGCCTTGGCCCTGCGGAACCACCAGAAGGGTACGCTGAGTCACTTTCGCTCTTCGTTTCTTTTCCTCCTAAGGAAGGGTGCCATTTCGGCCCCTCCCTAATTTTTGTCTATTATTTCTTGCGCTCTCGACTCACACGCAGTGTATGCACTTGTATAAAAGAACGTCTTCCCGCCACTTTTCAAAAAAGAAAAAACACAACGTAGCTTCCCATTTGTTAGATCACAGCCAAGTCCAAATTTTGAATTTTTGAATTTTTCGCGGGCCTTTCAAACTTTTTCAAGGACAATTAAAGGCGGGAAGTTTGGGTTATCACAATATATATGCTTCTTGCACCATGCTACCAACTAGAGGACGATGTTAATCACACGTCAGTATCCAGCATATCCCACTCAAGTGAAAATATTTAATGAACGGATTTCAATAAACATAACCTGAACCTTGATTACACAAGAATCCAAGATGATTCATACCACAATCGTGCAGCACGTAAACAACGAACATTGATGTTGACTTTGTTGCTAGGTGTAGTGTGTATCTGTGAGTGTATAATAGGTACCCTAGTACCAGTAAGGAATAAGGTGGTGATTTGTGCCACCAAATTACCAACGTCCACGGTGGTAGAAGTAAGGTGTGGAAACAAGCCGCTCCAATTTGTTGAATAAAACACGCATCCCAGTAGGCTTATTTACTACGAAATAGTATGCAGCACAGTATGTCCATCTATGTATTAACATTTCAACTTGTCCGTGTATTTATGAATGAAATAAGTGACAGATTCGTTGGAGGGAAAATAAATCACAGCACTACGGTTTGTGGTTGGTCTTTGGTGTGAATCGTGTGATTGGTAGATGATTCGACATTTGTGATTGGGTAATAAATGACATTGGCATAAATGTCAAAGATTTAATACAGTTTTCTATTACTTAATTTCAACTGATCTCTCTAGACGTCGCTGCGGTGTGGACAGATAATGACATATAATCCAAACCACGCGATTTGTGTTTTCTACCAATGATTTTGAGGAAAGTTATGAATGAGGTTTCCACACCTTACTTCTACCACCGTGCCAACGTCTATATGCATGCCATTCGCCCTTATTACTTCTGGGTATACTGTTTTACAATAGTTAAATTGACTATAAAAATCGCACATACATACAGGAAGTCGGCTTTGAAATTTCCACAATTTTGCCGCCTTATTGTGATAGTAACCATTGATAGGGGACACCCAATACTTCAGCTCAAATAATAAATTTGCAACGTATTTTAAACAAACTGCATTTCTTTTTTAAGATGTAGTGGCAGATTTTCGGAAACAACTTAACGTGCGATCTTTTATAATCGCCTCCTCTTGTATACCATATATATACATGATGGGTAAATTATGTGGCATTTTTATATATAGTTCTTTATTTCGCAGACATTTTTCCAAAATTAATTTTATTATAACTAATTACATTAAATTCGAAAATTGTTCTTCGTTAAAAAAATATTTTTAGTAACAAAAATTGCCGAACATTCGAAAGGAACAACCACAATATGGGGAAACGAGGCTTGTTTAACCTGAAAACTTTGATTAAGTAATTAATTATAATTACTGATTTTCTCAAGGTGCTAGATGCATTTCATTTATCACTTTAACAATAATGGGTTTCACAAATAAAATCAGTGGAGTTAACGCCTTATAATACTATTCAAATGTGTTATTATCCCCACAACACCGAAACACTGTCAACACGTCTGAGCAGCTACGGTTTCTTCAACTTTTCGGACTAAACCAAACGAAACTAAATTACACTGAATTTCATAACTTCAGTCCAGAATATGTCAGCGTAGCTGCTGAAACGCCTCATTTTTCGGTGTTGTAAACACAAAAATGTTTTTGAGTTCGTACACTGCACCATGAACGAGATCTTCGCTTTACATTAAAAATAACATTTTTAGAATACACTTTGCAGCGTTATAAGTATAAGATTGAAACCAATATTTTTCTGTTATGGAAAACAAATTGCATAATATCATCAGGAACCACATTTCCATTCCAGAAGATGAAATTTCCAGGAACAATCAAATTCTTGCTTCTGTTTGTATCTCCTTCAAATCACTGATTATTTTCTAAATCGTTGTTCTGCAGGTTCTTCCAAAAATCATAGACAGTATGAAGAAAAAGGATCCACTTTTTAAGGCTATGTACAGACGTACTTTTTACGGAGGCAGCTACTACGATGGTTTGAAAGTTGGCAAACCTGAAGAATTTGATTTAGATTTGTTGCTTGACGTCCCCAAGTATGCCGAACCTGAATTACTTAGCAGTGGGTACCCTGGTTTTGTCAAGGTGCGCGTTAATAAATATCATGCTTGGATGAAACAACCTGAAGCAACACCATCTTATGAAAAATTTGCAAAACTTTTTGATAGTCAGTGTAATTTAAATACTGAAAAGACATTGGCTTGGATGGAAGGTCTTGTCCAGAAGAGTTTGAACGATTTCCAGAATGAAAGGGTTGCCCCACAGATCACTTTTAGTAAATCAGGTCCGGCTCTGACGCTTCATGTTTCTGAATCTAATAAGAAAATAATGGACATAGATTTGGTTCCATGTTTTGTTTTTGGTAGTGATAAATGGCCTAAGGGCTTCCGAAGTAATCCTGTTCCTTCAAAGGTAAATGTTCAAGGAGTATATCTATAAACGAGTACAATATATTCATCTCAATGGGAGAATAGCATTTCTTCAAAACTACGATTTGCATGTAAAATGAATTATGGAAACAATTTTAACTCATTTTTACGATTTTGTACTTTCACGTGTTCATCTGATAAAATACGAAAATGCAGGTTTGGTGTTTTTGGCTATTGACTTGTTTTTAACATTTATTATTATTATTTTCGAATTTATATAGGTGTGTTTTAAAATCGTGGCGCTGAAAGCAGTTTTTTATTCTGGATCCAAAAATGAAAAATATACAAAAAACAGTTGCCTGCGCAAACATTTTTTTTTTTAGATTGTCTGCAGTGTAATTTATTTCCTGGGCAGGTGGTAGTTCTAAGTAGCTAAATTTCTGAAGCACTTGTATTTTAATATTTTACATTTTTATGTTTGATTGAAAACATAATCTCTAAATCCGGCCAGAGCTAAAGAATATAAAAATTCAAATTGTAAAGGATTTTTCTGCTTTTAGCCAGAATTTTTTATTGTTCCCAAAAGACCAAACAACTGCAAAAAACAAGAGCAGTCACATCACTGGCGTCTTTCTTTCCAGGAGCAAGAAAGGGAGCTGATTTCTGATAAAATGATGTTAAAGCCAACTGTTAAACTGTTAAAGGTACCTACTAACTTTTTTCTATCTAGTACTATACTAGATATATACTATACTACCTACATATAATAGGATTTACGTTTATTAAAAGACTATGTAAAGGGATCATTCTAGATCATGAGGGATATGTATGAAGATAGATGGATGGCTAGTTACTACATTAAAACTGTGTTTCTTCATTTATGCGACCAGAAGAATGAACAGTTCTGGAAATCATCTTTGACTCATGTCTTTAAAACTACATTAAGAGACTATAAAGACGTAGTGAAAAATGGAAAAATACCATATTACTGGAATGAAAATAATAATTTAATAGCCAACATAAGTAATAACTGCATAGAAAATTTTACTAACCGGTTAGAGAGGCTATTGCAAGAGTTAGAAAAAAATCCAGAAAATGTGGAAAGTTGTTTACGTAAGAAGTGTGCAACCAAGTTACAACAAGTTTATTTCTTTTTTTCATTTCAGTGAGGCAGAGAAAACAAAAAAGAAGTTACTGGACTGGCAATGAATTTTCGCATCGTCATTTTACAGACCCACGAAATGACCTGACTACTTGCGCCGGACTACTATTAATTATTTTCTTGTTAAATTCTACCTCTTTCTTTGCATTTTTTCAATCTCTACTTATTTCGCTAATACAAAACCTTCCACTAGTCATTTTTTCTGTAATGCTTCTGTTTGTTCTTTATTTAATCAAAAAATTTATAGATTTCGTCAAAAGTCTACCCCAAGAAGTAATACTAAAATACTCTTCAGTCGTAGCTGTTATCACCTGTTCGTTTTTCGATAAAAATCCTAGAATTTTCCTTACATTTTTCTCAGCGTGTGTATTCTATGAACTTTTGGAATCCGTTAGGATTGCTAAAAACGATATTTCCTTGGAAAGATATTTTCCCACTGTACTCATCGTTATTACGTTCACAGTTCATCATGCGAATCCTCTTTACCTTGTCCTTTTTTCTTTAGTTCTCGTAGGGTTGATCACACTGTGGTTGATAATATGGTTTTTGTGCTTGAAAAGTGAACTCATAAAAACATCAACGTTTTTAGTGTTTGCGTTTGGAACATACAATTTTCCTCCTTTTGTGCTAATCGTGCCTGCTTTGGCAACTTTTCTGTTAGTGTGGAAGACTCTAACATTAGGTATAAAGTATTTGACCGTACAGCACTACCGTATGTTGGCTGCTGGAATTTTGTGTTTTCAATTTGCTCCTGATATTTTTTATTTGCTTAGAATAATTGTATTTCTAATGTTAGCAAAAGTGCTAACATGGACGCTGAATGTGCTTTTAAGTATCGAAAACATAATTGTTACTTTATTCATGTTGAGTTCTTTTTTCCTAAGTGTCTTCGATGTTCAAGAATCTGCAATATTCCTCTTTCTGCATGGATTTGTATTAATTATAATCAAAATGATTGTTTTATTTTTGGGTAATTTAAAGTTAGAAAATTGTGTTGCGTTGGCACTCGTTTTAAGTTGCTTTGATGTTGAGTAATTGTATTAATAACGGTATTTCAACTAGGAAGTATTAAGGGGATTCGCTAGACGAGGTATAACATTTTTTTGTTTTTTTGTATGAAAAAATGATATTAATATAGATGTGTCATACATCAAACTGCAGCTTTTTTTCATATTCTAGAGCGCAGAGACCAGTTCAATCAACTAAAAAAATATGGCTGAGAAATATCGTAAAAAAAGCACCATTGTATGTTTTCTTTTCAAGTTTTTTAAGTCATAACCATCATAGAATCGCTTGAAAATTCGCACATGGATAAAACATCACTTTTTACAGGGCGCAGTGTCATTAAATGTTTGTTAGTGGTACAATTTGTTTAAATAATATTGTGTTTATTAAAATCAAAATATACCACAAATTAATGCAAAATACGTCGAATAATTTTAACAGGAATATCAGAGGAAAATTAATGATCTATTGGTTAGCAGAGTTTTTAACAAAAACTAACAATTATTGAAAAAAATGGGTATCAATTCGACAGAATTTGAGCAGTTAGTGCAGTACTTTGCCGATAGGAGCGCCACTAAAATTTACGGAAGCGGCTTTCCAGGTAAAACCCTTATCGCCTGCTCTACCACAAGCTGATTGTTAGAGTTCTCGGCTGATTTTTCTAATTTATGGCAAGGAACTCAGTTTTATAACAAGCCGCCAGGACCGGCCGTAGTAATCTATTGTTAAGGAAATTAACTTTTACGCAATGAGGTACTATTTATAAAACCGAATTAAAACTGGGGAACTATAATATTTTTACTCCACTCAGGATCCTGAATTCAATACACATCATTACTAAAAAATCATTGTAATATTATTGTTGATAATATATTTTGCTTTGTTAATTAATAAAACTAATAAACATATTTATAATAATAATAAAAAATATATAAAATACAGCTTTTGTTTAACACGTATAAGTAGCTAAGTGTATCTACTACTTATCCCAAAAAGGAGGTGTTTTAAAAAAGCCCTACGTCCAGTAACTTCTCCCTTCATTGTTTACTCGAAAAAAGTGCTCGTATATGTTTTCATTTGCCGAGAGATAATTTTCAAAATATATTTATAGTAAAAATATGCAAGTCTTGGTGATGAAAAATGTACTCCTAATAAATTATTAAAGTACATAAAAAAATAGAAACAAATTTTATTTATTTAAAAAAAAAATCTCTTGGAAAGGCAGGTTCCTCTTTCTTCTTGAATCAATTATTTCGGACAATAATGCGCCAAAGTAAAATCTGCCAAGTTTATCTGCCATCTTTTTACATATATTTCTTCGTTCTTATACATTTTTTCTATATTTATTCCTTTGGGTGTCCATACAACAAAATAAACTTGTGAAATACCCGTAACAAGAATTTGTCCCTGGACTTGAAAGTAGTAATCATGATTTTTTTTTAGTTTCAATTCTCTGTCAATGTACAAAATTTTATTATTTTTTTTCTAACCGCTTCTTCGGGAGACAAATCTTGCGATTTTGAAGGGCATTTAATTTCGACTAATGCACTCCTATCCTCTAGAACCCTGTCTGGACTAGCAGCCAAGTAAGGAAATTGTTTTGAAATAAACAAACCACACCGTTCAGTTTTTATATTTTTATTTATTTCAAAACACTTGACAGCTTTTTCCTCACTTTGCTGTCCATAGTATGTATGACTATTACCTCTAAATGTACTGTAAAACAGACGAGCTTGTTTTATAGACGAACAATATTTTTTTGTTATTAAACCAGGACCGTTTTAATCACAATATATTTACTTATCCCCTCTAAAAAATTGATAACGTCACCTCAAAATTTTGCTGAATAAATCCTATCTAAATTGTATAAAATATGATGAGTCTCTTCTTGTGATTTATCATTCCATTCTTGTTTTTTGGATTTGCATATACAGGATGACCCCAAAAATTAATGAATGCGTAAATTTATTTTATTGATTTAATCAGGAACTACAGAACCCAATGCTTTGAAATTTTGCAAATGTTTTAAGGTTATAAAGCGCATAATAAATTTTTGCTCAAAATTAGGGATGTACCGACTAGTGGCCGACCGGTCGGATAAGCCGACTATTCGGCCATTTTTCATCGTCGGCTACAGTCGGCGACTGGTCGGCGACTGGTCGGCTAAACAGCCGATCGGTCGGCTTTTTTTATTAAAATTAAAATAGTATATAAAACAATTAAACCCGGTTTACAGAACCTCAATTGAATATTTAATTGCGATTTAATTTTTAACCCCGCCTTAAAGTATCATGTGACCGACTCTACGCCAATTAGACGTCGTTAATGGCCTTGTTAAATGCGCGGTCAACTTAATATCAATTAAAATATTGTATAAACTGGCCCTAAATTGTGTTATTCTTTATTTTTGTACTGAGTTACTAAAAAAAATTAAATGTTAAAATTATCCAAACAAATTTAATAAATTTTTTGGAAAACAAAGGAACTTTAGTTATTTCTTTTATTAAAATGAAACAAATTTTTAAGGTAGTCAGAGAAATAGAAAAAAAAAAACGCATTGTCTGTCGCATTTATAAACCGATTTTAGCAAAGTCGAACAGTCGGCCGACTAGTCGGTTTTTACTGGCCGAACAATCGACTAGTCGGTTAGTCGGCCAGACCTACAGTCGGTACATCTCTACTCTAAATATATTTGCTTATCCCCTCCAAAAAATTGATGACGTCAGCTCAAAAGTTTGCCGTATAATCCTATTTAAAATTTACAAAATATGATGAGTGTCTTCTTGTAATTTATCATTCATTCATATTTTTTGGATATGCATATACAAGGTGACTCAAAAAATTTAATGAATGCGAAAATTTCTTTTATTGATTTAATCAGGAACTACAAAACCGAATGCTTTGAAATCTAATGTGAAAAAAAAACATAATAGGCAAGCAGTCGTCACGTTTCCGATAGCGAGGGAAGTACTGTCTAAACTCTTTAGACCAATTTTTTTGATTTTCCCATTTTTCCATTTCTCAATTTTTCGATGTTTCAGTTTGGGTTTTTTTCACTGTTTCGATTCTTTAATTTTTCTTCCATTTTTAGGTTTTTCAATATTTCAGCTTTGGAATTTTGCAATATTTCGTTCCTTCAATTTTTCAAATTTTTGACATTGTGTTTTCTCGGTTTTTAAATTTTTCGATATTCTAATTTTTCAGTTTTTAAAGTTTTAGGTTTTCAGATTTCTCACTATCTCGACTTTTCGATTTTTCAGTTCCATGATTTTTCAATTTGTCGAAATTTTAAATTTTAGATTTTTTGGTCTCGATCATTCAATTTTCTGAGTTTTCAAGCTTAGACTTTTTATTGCTCAATTCTTGGATTTTTAAAATTTTTGTTTTTTAACTTTTCCTATTTATCAATTTACTGGGATTTCAATGTTTTGATTTTTTGATTGTTCAATTTCTCGATTTTTTTATTTTAGTTTTTGATACGATTTTTTTTTCAAAATTTTTCAGTTTTTTAATTTATTAACTTTACGATATTTCACTTTTACGATTTTTAAATTTTTTTATTTTTCAGTTTTCAATTTTTGACGTTTCTAAATTTTTCGATTAACTGATTTTTAGATTTTCCCATTTCCCTATTTCTTAATTTTTCAATTCTTTCTTCAATTGTGATTTTTCAATTTTTCGATTTCTGGATTTTTCAATGTTTCTGTTTAGTATTTTTTCACTTTTCCGATTCTTCAATTTTCTTTCCATTTTTCAGTTTTTCAAGATTTCAGTTTTGAATTTTTTCACTTTTTCGATTTTTCAAGTTTTTCGATAGGTATTTTAATTTTTCAATTTTTAAGTTCTAGATTTTCCGTTAATTTTTTTGTTTTTCTTGATGTTTTGATTTCTCGATTATTCGATTTTTCAAGTTCTCGGTTTAGATTTTTTGGTTTTCCAATTCTTCGTTTTTTAAATTGTTTAATTTTTAGATTGTTCAATTTCTCGATTTATAGATTTTTCAATTTTTCGGTTTACCGATTTTTTCATCCAAAATGTTTCAATTTTTCAATTGTTAAGTTTTCGATTTTTCAATTTTGGTGTAATTTGAAAACGGTATTAATAATACATTTAGGCGAATAAACTAATAGACGGGCTTGATAAGCCTTGTTTGCTTTACAGTGTCTAAATTGTGTTTGAATAATATAATAATTATCTCGAATATTAAAATTAATGTCAAAAGAATATGAGAAATGATTATTCTGTGCTGAAGGTATGTTGTGGGCCGTCTGCCATAAATTATCATTAATCTGCATTATCGGCTTACGATACTTTTATGACCCACGTGCGGTAGTTGTCTATCCCAGCGCGTCAGGTAAATTTAAAGAAGAATTGCTGGTTGCGTTTAAGGCAACAAATGGCGCCCAATTCAAACTTGTCTCTCGTCTAGCGTTCTCCCTTAAGTAGATGTGGTACTTGTTATAAATTTTATATACATAAAAATTGTTCACCAAAGATTATCACGCTTGTAATAAATGAAACAAATGAGGGAAATTGTGTTTTTTTTCTTGTGGATGTTCATCAATGTCAACCAAAAATCCAGAAATTTTAAAGGGTCACAAAGTTCAGATTTTATTTTTTGTATTTTCATTATTTTAAAATGTTGTTTAATAAAAGTAAATTAATGCAAGTGGATATCAGTGTAACAATTATTCAGTAATAGTTTTTACAGTTCTATTGTCATTATGTTCAAGACTTAAATTTTGCAAAAGAAAATTAAATTTTTATGTAGGCAACCATGAATATAGAAACGAGTGAGAGCATCAGATGAACGAGTATTGTATGTTGGCGTTGTGCCGGCACCAGCATACTTTCGACCACAAACATGCAACTTGCAGACGATGCCCGATGGAAATACACAATTTAAATTTATTCCTAGACACACAGAAGCGGCAAATGTGAGGCAATGGTACATTTCACTGTTTGCTAGATGTCAAACGATTTATGAAAGTCCGGTATTTGTTCTAGAAAATCACCATCTACAGTTATCTATTCCTCCATTTTTCGTTGGACACAAGATACATTTGCCTTTTATATAGGGGCTCGTCACAAAGGCATTAGGTTTTAAAAAAATCAATGCATTTTTTAAACAAAAGTCACTATAGTCTCGAGGAAAACTCGGTCTATATTTTTCAAGATCTGTGGTAGAGCACTATTTTTAGAGTCGGTCACAGGGGCAACACATGTTCGTACTAGACTCGTGTATTTTCGCTGGCGTTCGTGGTATTAGTAGGAATATAGGGGAATTTCCTTTTTATTCATGTCGTTGATCGAACTGTGTGCCGTGTTGTTAGTCTTACGTGTCCCAGCGTCCACTTCGCTAAACATGGAAAACGTACTGCAAGAAATAAATAAAAGATTTATATCGTTACCAGATGAAGAAGTTCGCAGAAATAACAGAATTTTGGATTCGGTAAGTGTTATCACTTATCAGTTAGAATGCTTATAAAAAGTCCAAGTTGATAATATTTATCTTTATGAGACACAATTACAGCACATTGCAACTCATGATCACTTTACACTGTGTTGTAACAGTCCATTTGCAAATCGTCGGCTAAATACATATATCTAATAGTACTATATTGCTAACTGGCCTCAAAAGATTCCGAAAACATAACGGCAGAGCAATATATCGGACCTCTCTGTCTCTCTGTGGTACCAAACAGTACTGCGCATGCACTCGTACTTAGTTGATTTGTAGTGGATAGCGTGACTGGATGCGTTTTGACATTTCGTACTTTCGCTTCTATTTTGTGTACATGCGCACAGACCCTCGGTACTCTTATAGACAGAAAACAACATCTTCTGTCTCTCTCTGTCCGTGAACACCGTTTCTATGTTACTTCCGAAGTGTTAGCAATATAGCACTATTAGATATATGGCTAAATAACAAAATTATTTTCTAAAATTCAAATTAAAGATTGTATACTTTATCTTAATTAATTGGAGAGATTCAAACAAAAAAATCAATTTTGTTTATTTTTGTAGACATATTTTGCTACTTTGTTTAAGTATTGCAGATAATTTGCATTTTTTGAGCTTGTCTAATAAAACTTCTTTTTTTTTAAGAATACTGCTAGAATGAAATGAGTAAATTAACGTAAAGTTTTTCTTATTATTATTTTTATTTATATGCGTAAATAACTTGAAGGTACTCACGACATTCGTGGATAAAATGAAGACCAAAGATCCCCTTTTCAAAGCAATGTTCAGACGTGTATTCTACGGTGGCAGTTACTACGACGGCCTTCGTGTTGGTAAACCTGAAGAGTTCGACTTAGATCTATTACTTGATATCCCTACATATGCGCAACCTGTTTTAATGGAAAGCAATATACCTGGTTTTGTCCATTTGCAAGTCAAGAACTTCGATGGCTGGATGAAACAGCCTGAAGCTAAGCCAGGTTATGCAAATTTTAAAAAATTGTTTGATGACAAGTTCTTCTTGAGTACAGAAAAAGTGTTAGCTTGGATGCATGGTGTTATCCAGATAACTTTCAACGATTTTTCGCCGTCTAGCAATGGGGTATATACTTTTCAAAATCCAACGGGCACCTTTAAGGTAAACTATTTGCATATAATATAAATTAGTTGATACATGATGAAGGACTTTACAGATTAAGTTCAGTAGTTCTGGACCAGCGTTGACTCTTCATATTGCAGGAGCTGGGGTGAAAATGGACGTGGATTTTGTAACATGTTTTGTTTTTAGTGGGAAGATGTGGCCTATAAATGGTTTTAAAAGTAACCCTTTTCCTTCAACTAAGGTACGTTAGAGGTTTAAAATTAAAGATATAAATTTTATTCACTTATCAATATTTGTTTTAGCCGGAATTTTTCATAGTACCTAAGAAACCCAAAGCTCCAGAAAATCAGCCAATTCCTCGATATTGGCGACTGTCTTTCCAAGAACAAGAAAGGGCTTTAATGGAGGACAAAAGAACTCTGAAGCCTACAATCAAATTGCTTAAAGTTTGTACTGTCTTGTTTTTATTTTATACAATATTTGTTGTAATTTTTATTACAGAAATTGCGTGATAATCAACAACAAAGCTGCATCGCTAGTTACTATATCAAAACGGTTCTTCTTCACATTATGGCACAAAAGGAGATCGATTTTTGGAGAAAACCGCTGAGTCATGTTTTCTTCGTAGTTTTGGAAGAATACAAGGAATTTATAAAAGAGGGAAAGATCCCTTACTATTGGAACAAGAAAAACAATTTAATAGGCAAAGTAAATGCAGCAACTTTGCAAAATGTCAGTGGAAGATTGACAACGATTATTAAGGAGGTTAAAAATTTTCCTGATAAACCAGAAATCATCGCGAAATATTTACGTAAGAAATGGTTACATAAAAAAAGTGTGGTTGTTGATTATTCATGTTTATAGTGACGAAAGAAGAATATAGAAGCTTTATTGGCGAAACAGCAAGTACTACCGGTGGTGTATGTCCACAGCCCACCACTAGTAACAACGATCAAGACAAATCAAGTTGTTTACTTAGTTAAGTCTCAATTTTATCATTTATCTATTTTATACTTAACAGGTTTCGTTAATTATATTCGAATAAATTAATTCGACGTTTGATTTAAAATGTATAAAAATAAAATGAAAGACACTACGCAAAGGCAAGTGGAGCAAATAAAAAAGTCACGTTAAAATTATGCAGATTAAATGCTATTTAAATTTTATAAAACAACACTCCTTTACTTGTGGTTTATAAATCCGCGTTCATTTTTACCTAAGCATCCAGATTTTCACAAAATTGACGTTATCAAAATTTACTCTGTTTATTTACTCCGTTGCCAAGTTGCCGTTGATAGTAACTTTGATGTTCAACTTGCCGTATTTAAAGGAGTTGTAGAAAAAAAGTGGCGGATTTAAGTTGATTACTACAAAAATTTACCATTTCGACATGTTTTAAGTTTCTTGTTGTCGAAATAAGTCTACACATACTAAGAAAACAAAGCAAAATGTTGCCCCGCCCACCCGCCCTATCTCAATTGTGATGATTTTTTTGTTATTCGTCATGAGCCAAGTTAGATTTTACGTAGGATAACTGGTACAAACCAAGAAGGCGAAGGAATTATAGAAGTGATAACAGCAGATAGTTGACGTCGTGTGCAAGATAATACTGTCGTTTCCAAAAAATTTCGGGGAAATGACATTGACATGAAAGTCATATTCTTATTGCTTTTCATTGATCTATAAAAATCTGATTTGGTCATCTTGCCCGAAATTTTTTGGAAACGTTTGTAGTACACGTGTTCAATTGAAAAATCACTCATTGTAGGCGTTGGAATATCATTTGACAGAATCATTTGCTCTCTTAGAGGGTATGTCATTTGCCAAAATCAGTCTTATGTTAGCAAGTAGTAGCCCCGCCCACCCACCCCTGTTTTCTCAGAAGATATGTTATTTGCCAAAATAAGTTTTCCTTAGTAAGTAGTAGCCCCGCCCACCCACCCTCTATTTTCTCAGAGGATATGACGTTCGCCAAAATCAGTCTTATCTGAGCAAGTAGTAGCTGAAAAGTCTAAAAACTGAAGAATGTAAAGATTGAAAATTCGAGAAATTAAAAAATCGGAAAGTATAAAAATTGAAAAATCTAAATGAATAATGGAAAAATTAATTGCCACATCGAAAATTTGAAAAATCGAAAATTCTGTGAATCAAATATTCGAAAAACGAAAATCCAAAAAATCGAAAAACCGAAAATAAAAACTTCGAAAAATCGAAAAAATCCAAGAATCGAAATATAGAAAATGTCGAACAATTGAACATTCTAAAATTGAAAAATGGACAAATCGAAATTAAAAAAAAATGATAATTCAAAAAATCGAGGACTCAAGATATCAAAAACTCGGAAATTAAAAAAAATTGAAAAATCGAAAAGCTGAAGAATCGAAAAATTAAAAATTCGGAAAATCGAATTAACAAAAGTAGATTAATGGAAATAGATATCGGTGTAACAATTATTCAGTAATAGTTTTTACGGTTCTATTGTCATTATGTTCAAGAGTTAAATTTTGCAAAAGAAAATTAAGTTTTTTGTAGGCAACCATGAATATAGAATCGAGTGCGAACATAAGATGAACAAGTATTTTATGTTGGCTTTGTGCCGGCACCAGCATACTTTCGACCACAAACATGCAACTTGCAGACGATACCCGATGGAAGTACACAATTTAAATTTATTCCTAGACACACAGAAGCGGCAAATCTGAGCAATTGGTACATTTCACTGTTTGCTAGATGTCGAACGATTTATGAAAGTCCTGTATTTGTTCTAGAAAATCACCATCTACAGTTATCTATTCCTCCATTTTTCGTTGGACACAAGATACATTTGCCTTTTATATAGGGCCTCGTCACAAAGGCATTAGGTTTTAAAAAAATCAATGCATTTTTTAAACAAAAGTCACTATAGTCTCGAGGAAAACTCGGTCTATATTTTTCAAGATCTGTGGTAGAGCACTATTTTTAGAGTCGGTCACAGGGGCGACACATGTTCGTACTAGACTCGTGTATTTTCGCTGGCGTTCGTGGTATTAGTAGGAATATAGGGGAATTTCCTTTTTAATAATGTCGTTGATCGAACTGTGTGTCGTGTTGTTGGTCTTACGTGTCCCAGCGTCCACTTCGCTAAACATGGAAAACGTACTGCAAGAAATAAATAAAAGATTTATATCGTTACCAGATGAAGACGTTCGCAGAAATAACAAAATTTTGGATTCGGTAAGTGTTATCACTTATCAGTTAGAATGTTTATAAAAATTCCAAGTTGATAATATTTATCTTTATGAGACACAATTACAGCACATTGCAACTCATGATCACTTTACACTGTGTTGTAACAGTCCATTTGCAAATCGTCGGCTAAATAACAAAATTATTTTCTAAAATTCAAATTAAAGATTGTAAACTGTTATCTTAATTAATGGGAGAGATTCAAACAAAAAAATCAATTTTGTTTAAGTATTGCAGATAATTTGCATTTTTTGAACTTGTCTAATAAAACTTCTTTTTTTTTAAGAATACTGCTAGAATGAAATGAGTAAATTAACGTAAAGTTTTTCTTATTATTATTTTTATTTATATGCGTAAATAACTTGAAGGTACTCACGACATTCGTGGATAAAATGAAGACCAAAGATCCCCTTTTCAAAGCAATGTTCAGACGTGTATTCTACGGTGGCAGTTACTACGACGGCCTTCGTGTTGGTAAACCTGAAGAGTTCGACTTAGATCTATTACTTGATATCCCTACATATGCGCAACCTGTTTTAATGGAAAGCAATATACCGGGTTTTGTCCATTTGCAAGTCAAGAACTTCGATGGCTGGATGAAACAGCCTGAAGCTAAGCCAGGTTATGCAAATTTTAAAAAATTGTTTGATGACAAGTTCTTCTTGAGTACAGAAAAAGTGTTAGCTTGGATGCATGGTGTTATCCAGATAACTTTCAACGATTTTTCGCCGTCTAGCAATGGGGTATATACTTTTCAAAATCCAACGGGCACCTTTAAGGTAAACTATTTGCATATAATATAAATTAGTTGATACATGATGAAGGACTTTACAGATTAAGTTCAGTAGTTCTGGACCAGCGTTGACTCTTCATATTGCAGGAGCTGGGGTGAAAATGGACGTGGATTTTGTAACATGTTTTGTTTTTAGTGGGAAGATGTGGCCTATAAATGGTTTTAAAAGTAACCCTTTTCCTTCAACTAAGGTACGTTAGAGGTTTAAAATTAAAGATATAAATTTTATTCACTTATCAATATTTGTTTTAGCCGGAATTTTTCATAGTACCTAAGAAACCCAAAGCTCCAGAAAATCAGCCAATTCCTCGATATTGGCGACTGTCTTTCCAAGAACAAGAAAGGGCTTTAATGGAGGACAAAAGAACTCTGAAACCTACAATCAAATTGCTTAAAGTTTCTACTGTCTTGTTTTTATTTTATACAATATTTTTTGTAATTTTTATTACAGAAATTACGTGATAATCAACAACAAAGCTGCATCGCTAGTTACTATATCAAAACGGTTCTTCTTCATATTATGGCACAAAAGGAGATTGATTTTTGGAGGAAACCGCTAAGTCATGTTTTCTTCGTAGTTTTGGAAGAATACAAGGAATTTATAAAAGAGGGGAAGATTCCTTATTACTGGAACAAGAAAAACAATTTAATAGGCAAAGTAAATGCAGCAACTTTGCAAAATGTCAGTGGAAGATTGACAACGATTATTAAGGAGGTTAAAAATTTTCCTGATAAACCAGAAATCATCGCGAAATATTTACGTAAGAAATGGTTACATTAAAAAAACTGTGGTTGTTGATTATTCATGTTTATAGTGACGAAAGAAGAATATAGAAGCTTTCTTGGCGAAACAGAAAATACTTCCGGTGGTGTGTGTCCACAGCCCACCACTAGTAACAACGACCAAGACAAATCAAGTTGTTTACTTAGTTAAGTCTCAATTTTATCATTTATCTATTTTATACTTAACAGGTTTGGTGTGTTTTATTATATTTGAATAAATTAATTCGGCGTTTGATTTAAAATGTATAAAAATAAAATGAAAGACACTACGCAAAGGCAAGTGGAGCAAATAAAAAAGTCACGTTAAAATTATGCAGATTAAATGCTATTTAAATTTTATAAAACCACACTCCTTTACTTGTGGTTTATAAATCCGCCTTCATTTTTACCCTAAGCATCCAGATTTTCACAAAAAATACTGAACGTGTGAATATTCTATGACGGTATCAAAATTTACTCTGTTTATTTACTCCGTTGCCAAGTTGCCGTTGATAGTAACTTTGATGTTCAACTTTTGCCGAATTTAAAGGGATTGTAGAAAAAAAAGTGGCGAATTTAAGGTGATTACTACAAAAATTTACCATTTCGACATGTTTTAAGTTTCTTGTTGCCGAAATTAGTGTACACATACTAGGAAAACAAAGCACCCCGCCCACCCACCCTCTATTTTCTCAGAGGATATGACGTTCGCCAAAATCAGTCTTATCTGAGCAAGTAGTAGCCGAAAAGTCTAAAAACTGAAGAATGTAAAAATTGAAACATCCAAAAATCAAAAATCCGAAAGTAGAAAGATTGAAAATTCGAGAATTGAAAATCGAAAACTCGAGAAATTAAAAAATCGGAATGTTGAAAAATCTAAATGAATAATCGAAAAATTAATTGCCACATCGAAAATTTGAAAAATCGAAAATTCTGTGAATCAAATATTCGAAAAAACGAAAATCCAAAAAATCGAAAAACCGAAAATAAAAACTTCGAAAAATCGAAAAAATCCAAGAATCGAAATATAGAAAATGTCGAACAATTGAACATTCTTAAATTGAAAAGGACTCAAGATATCAAAAACTTGGAAATTAAAAAAAATTGAAAAATCGAAAAGCTGAAGAATCGAAAAATTAAAAATTCGGAAAATCGAAAAGTAAAACAGTTAAAAAGTCCAAAAAATGAAGAATGTAAAAACTGAAAAGTCGAAAATTCGAAAAATCAAAAATCGAAAACTGGAGAACTAAAAAATCGGAAATTAAAGAAAGTGAAAAGTCTAATTGAAGAATGGAAAAACTGTGAAATCGAAAATTTGAAAAATCGAATATTCGATGAATCAAATTATTTTGAAAATCAAAAATTCGATGAATCAAATCATCGAAAAACCAAGACTGAAATATACAAAAAAAAAAAAACGAAGCATAGAAAGTCGAGCCTTTAATTGAAATTTAAAATTTTGCATTTTTAATTTTTTGAATTTTCAGTTTGTCGATTTTTAATTTTTCGTTCCCGCAAATTTTTAATTTGCAATTTTTTGAGTTTCCGGTTTAAATTTTCGAGTCTTTACATTTTGCACTTTTGAATTTTTCGATATTTCAACATTTCGTTGCTTCACCTTTTAGATTTCTCAATTTTAGATGTTTTATTTTTTCTTTTTTCAGTTGTTAGATTTCCAATTTTTTGAGTTTTTATTTTGGATGTAAGTACCTGCCAAGATAAGACTGATTTTGGCAGATACCCTCTAAGAAAAGAGAGGGTGGGTGGGCGGGGCTAGTATCTGCTAAGATAAGGCTGATTTTGGCAAATAACACCCTCTAAGAAAAGAGAGGGCGGGTGGGCGGGCCTAGTACGTTCTAAGATAAGGTTGATTTTGGCAAATAACATAACTTCTAAGAAAAGAGAGGACGGGTGGGTGGGGCTCGTACCTAATAGGATAAGACTGATTTTGGCAAATGAGATACCTTCTAAGTAAAGAGAGGGTGGGTGGGCGGGGCTAGTACCTGCTAAGATAAGGCTGAATTTGGCAAATGACATATTCTGTAAAAGAATAGAGGGTGAGCGGCTGTGTCCAAAATTTAAAAATCCAAAAGCGAAAACTTGATTATTCAAAAGCTAAAAATTGAAAACTGGAAAAACTGCAAATCAAAAAATTGAAGACACGAAAATTTGAATTATCGTTTAATTCAAATAAAGGAAAATTAAAATATGTACAAATTGAAAAATGGAATGAACGAAAAATTGAAAAACCGGAAACTCAAATAATCGAAAAATTCAAGAAACGAAAAATTTCAGATCGAAAAATTGTAAAATCGAAAAACTGTAAAATTGAGTAATTCTAAATCGAAAAAGTTAAAATAATCTGAGTAACTATAAAATCGAAAAATTGTAAAATCTAACAAAAATCGGAAAATGGAGAAATTGCAAAATCTGAAAACTAAAGAATTTTTAAAAACTCAAAAATGAGTGCTATTAAAAAAATGCACAGTCAACACAATCTACATAAACGCGGCGAAAGCAATTAAAAATTATTTAATTAAGAAAAATTTATATAGGTATAAAAATTGAAAAGTCCAAACTGTAAAATCGTGAAAATTTCAGTTTAAACAAATTTGCTCCCGTTGAATTATTTAAATTAAAAATTAGAATCTGGGAAAACGAAACATTAAAAAATTGCGAAGTTGAAACACTTAAAAGCTAAATTAAAAATTGAAATTTCTATTACTTGAAATAAGGAAAACTTAAGATATCTACAAGTCAAAAAATTGAGGAAGTGCAAAATTGAAATATCGAAAAATTGCAAATCGAAAATCTGGGAGATCGAAAAATTATAAAATCAAAAAACAAAAAATTCCAAAAATTGTAAAATAAAAAAAAATGAAAACTAGAAAACCTAAAATCGGAACACTGTAAAGTCCAAAATTGAAGAAACAAAAATTCGCAAATGGAAAATATGAAAATTGGAATATTAAAAATGGGGAAACTGGAAAAACCAAAAACTGAATAAACGATCTAGAAATTGACAAATCGGGCTAAATGTAAAATCGATAAATTGTACATTAAAAAACTCAAATGTTGATACATAAATAAAAATTTTGAAAAAAAAAAATTGAAAACTCCAAAGCTTGCAAATCAAAACATTGTACAATTAAAAAATTACGTTAAACATGTTTTAAGTTTCTTCTTGTGAAAAGAAGACTACGTATGTTAAGAAAAACAGACGCAAAATATAAACCCCGCCCACCCACCCTATCGCAATTGTGATGATTTTTTCTATTCGTCATGAGTCAGAGGGCAAACCTTAATTGCAAAATCCGTATTTCTTTACAAGAAATTACCGTGTGAAACAAGTTCTTAAGTTCCAAGAAAATTATACGTATTATGTAAAAAAAAGAACCCAAAAATTCAAAAATTAAGTCCCACCTATGTCCGCACCGATCTCAATTATGATAAATTGCAAAATCCATATTTCACCAATAAAATTTACCATTTCAAACATGTTTTGAGTTTCTTGTTGTAAAATGAAGACTATGTATACTACGAAAAACAGAGGCAAAATATAAGCCCCGCCCACCCACCCTGTCTCAATTGTGATGATTTTTTCTATTCGTCGTGTGTCAAGGGGCGGACCTTAAGTGCAAAATCCTTATTTTATGTGAAACATATTTCTAAGTATCGCGTTATTTAAAGGAAACTATATATGTGTAGAAAATAAAAGTCAAAGTTTAAGGACCACCCATTCGCCCTAATCTTAATTATGATGAATCTTTCATTCATTGTCAGATCATCAATCAATATTTGTCTAAAAGATTTTTTTTTAAGTCATTTTAAAATTTTCTAAAATAATACCCCTGTACTTATGGTTTATGAATCCGCCTTGATTTTTTTATCCTATTTTCACAAAAAAAAATTTTTGAGTCGACACTTACAATTATGAATGAAGCATTTACTTCATAGAATTTTGCAGGAAGCGATACATATCTATAAAACAAAATAAAACACAAAATAATCGTTTTAGAAACTTATATTTTCGGTTGATACGTCGATTTGTTGTGTTGCCACATTTCACTCTTAAGAAAGGTTATGAAACAATGGGAAACATTGGAATTTGAACATAGTTTTTATTACAAAAAATATAAAAAGTAAAATACAAAATTAATTTGAAATAATCGTAACAAGACAGAAAAACGTATTTACTAAGTTTTTTCTTTAGTCTATTCTTTAGACGTTCTCTTCACGTCCGATGTTGAATGTCGAGTTCTGTGTAACTAATATCCCAGTAGTCGCTTTTGTAATATAGAATATTGCAAACTGCCAGTTTTCTAAAAGATATGCTAATTTCGGTATTGTTTAATATTTAAATATCATTTTTAGCCGTTTGTTGTACCATTTCCAAGTTCACGGTAGTAAGAAATAGTGACGACATCACCCTGGATATAATGTAACGTTTTAACTCGTCTCATTCTGGAAAACTTTCCAAATGTTCATTTACAACGGGATTCCTTGCTACTTCTCGATAGAACAAAATCACACATAGTTGGAAAAACCAAGCAGTGAGAAAAACCAAAGGATAGAACAGAAAATACTGGAATTTATATGTTACATCTAACCTTTCGCCAGGTTTTGACACTGCTTGCACTAGTGGCCTCCTGTAGATTGCTTCATGAATGAGAAATCCTTTGGCGATTATTAAAACCAAAGTAGTTAGGACAAAATAAATCAAAATTCCTTGTTTCTTCCTCTAAAATATAAAGAATTAACAGATTAAACGAATACCTTACTTATTGTTTGATTTTGACCAACGTAGTTTATGCTGCGTAAGAGAAGACACCCTTTAAAAACGCACAAGATAGCAGCGACTAAAAAAAAATAAAAATATGGGATACCCTCTTCATAAAAGTCTCCTTTGAATTTGCCACTAGCGTAAATCCAAAAAGCTGACATGATTGTGCCAAATATCCCCAAAACCTGCAATGAGAATTTTACATTCTGAAATACAAACATATTAGCAATCTTACAATTTCGTTGACGGCTTCATAAACTATTACTGTAACAGTTTCGGCGATTTCTTGAATTGAACGTTTTGACATCATTTTGATTGTTAACAATTTGCCGGATTACACTAAAATGCCGATAGAAATACTATATCGAAACATTGGGAAAGAATGTGTAGCCAGTGAGAGACGACTGCGAATACCCCCATCAGCAACGGTTTTGGGTTTTACCTTGTTGTTATTTCTGCATTTGTAATCCTTTTGTTACTATAACCACTTGACTCAACATAAGCAGGAATATAAGTGCGCATTACCTACTTAATATTTCAGCTAAGAATGTTAACATTCAGTGGCGTCGTTCCAAAATATAATGAGAATATATAATGGTTTCAATGCCGCTGGCAAAAAACTCGTTTCGCCAGTGGAGTACCTATGTAAATTTAGTTATAATATTAGTGTAAGAAAACAGTCCAGAGTAATTTTTTAATATCTTAATTACAGTTTTTGCTTGCTTCGTATCTATATTTATGGCACTAGAGGCTCTGTATGATTCTATAGTCCTCACAGTCCCAAGTTATAGCTGCGCCACGGCTTCAATTATTACGTTAATAGTGGTTGACCCTGTCGTATATTCCCCCGAAAGTCATTTGTACCGTATGTTAAACCTTGGTTTTGACCGGAGTTTCACATTGATGTACAATTGCGTAACAGCTATAGGTTTAAAGACTATTTGATAGAATTTTTCTTTGCATGAATAATAATCTCAGATTTTGTTATATTTAATGCTGTGTTGTCATTCAGGGACTGTTATTCCCTTCAGATTTCAAGAAGTTTGCGGAAATAGGCACAACGAAATAGAAAAAGCAATAAAAAATATATTTTATTTTACTTCATACATCACAGAATAATAAACCACAAAAGCAAAATAAAAAAATACCAACATAAATATAAGGGTAATTATAATTCTGTACACTAGCTTGATGTGACGTGATGACATTAAACGTTTATCATTTTTGGATCTACTTCAGACATCAAACTTCAATCATTGATTAACTTGGACGTTTTTTTCTCGCCCGATGAATATACTCTCTAGTGTTGATTATTCAAATTACAAACACATGTAGAGTTAATGGCAATTTTTTTTTTAATTATCCTAGTCGTTTCTTGTACGATTTCCAAGATCACAGTTGGAAGAATAGTGGCGGTATCACCTTGTACACAATTATGACGTTATCTCATGGGTATTGGGTTTGCCTGTGCATATTCATTTCTTCTTGACCAGTTTCCACACGTCCATTTACAACGGGATTCCTTGCCACTTCTCGATAGAACAAAATCACACACAGTTGGAAAAACCAAGCAGTGAGAAAAATCAAAGGATACAACAGAAAATACCGGAATTTATAATACACATCTAACCTTTCCCCAGGTTCTGACAATGCTTGCACTAGTGGTCTTCTGTCAATTGCTTCATGAATGAGAAATCCTTTGGCGATTATTAAAATTAAAGTAGTTAGGATAAGATAAATCTGAAGTCCTTCTTTCCTTCTCTAAAAAATTAAAGATTAAAAGATTAAACAAAAACCTGCCTCATTATTTAATTAATCAACCTGTTTTATGCTGCTTAACAGAAGACGTCCTTTAAAAAAGCACAATATAGCAGCTACTATGAAAAAATAAAAATATGGGTCGATGGTCCTTTCATTAAAGTCTTCTTTGAATGTTCCATAAATGTAAATCCAAGAAGCTGACTTGATTGTGCCAAATATCCCTAAAACCTGTAACGAGAATTTTACATTCTGAAATAAAAATATAATTGGTAATAATAATAATCTTACAATTTCATTGACGGCTTCATAAACGGCAACAGTTCTGGCGATAGCCTGAATTGAATGTTTTGACATCATGTTGACTGTTAACGAGATGCCGGATCACACTAAAATCGTAACTATTTTTATTTGTAATAACGACACTGCTACCTCTTCTCAATAAAAATATATAGAAACGCATCACCTACTTAATATTTCAGCCAGGTATGGTAAGTCCACTTCTGCTTTATTGTTGCTGTTGTTATTCAGTGGCGTCGCTACTGAAAAGGATGAGAATGCAAGCAGTTTCGGTGTTACCAATTAAGGGTGGCGTCTGGTTCGGTTTCGCCCAATACTAAATACATTGAAAACATCGTCGTAGTTTCCTAAGTAAACCTGCATTCTGCTACCGCATCACAGCTCGTTTAATGCCGATTTCTCGTTTCAATAGATTTTTACTTTTCGCGAGTTATTTACCTCAGTGGTGGATTTTTTAATGTTATAAATGGTATCAAAAGAAAGCTGACACTTTTCCCCAGGGGACCTCCTATCTCAGAATGCAAAAAACTTCAGTATTTCGTCAAAAAAATGCATCAATGTGCCGGTTAAAATGTGATGTAAAAGTTGTTCAACTTTATATTTTTTTTTTTTTGTAAAAACTGCATACTAGATATGAATATAAATATGGAGGTCCCCTGGACTGAAGTTTGTTAATTCGAAATATATTTTTTTTAAAGCGATATGTCTCATATTTTTAAAATGCAACTCCGGAAACCGCGACGATGTTTTCAATGTATTTAGTATAGGGCTAAACCGAACCAGACGCCAGCCTTAACTCGTTCGGCGAGTATAGTCCACAGTTACAGTTACAGCTGTTGACTGTCTCATATCTATATTTATTAACGGCACTGGAGGCATTATATGATTCCATAGTCCTCACAGTTTCAAATTATATCTACGCCCCTGCCTCATTTATTAGTTATTATCACGTTATTATAATAATATGGTACCTTCTTGTGGTTGATCCTCGCGTAGATTCCCGGAAAGTCATTTTTCTACCGTGGGTTAAACCAAAATATATTTGCTTATCCTCCCAAAAAATTGATGACGTCACCTCAAAATTTTACAGAATAAATCGTGTCTAAAATATGCAAAATATGATGAATCGATACTTGATAATATTACTGCATTCATATTTTTTTGATTTGTTTATACAGGATGACCTAAAATTTAATGATCCCCCAAAAACTAATGACGTCACCTCAAAATTTTAACGATTTAAAATCTTCTAACTAATGCAAAATATGATGAATCTATACTTGTGATTAGTTAAAGAAGCATGCTATACGGATGTTTCAAGTGGTTTTTTCCATTATAACATTTTATGATAACATCATCAACACTTTAATTGGTCCATTCACACATTTCTTTGAGTCAACCTGTATAAGTAATTTTAAAAACTGGTCGAAGATTATAGCCACAGAACGTTCCGCGGCCATATAATCTTCGGCGTAATTTTCAAAGTGCATAACTCCAATTTTTCCGAAATTGATATTCTCAAGTATCAAAATCAAAATGGATCAACCAGACAAGTTTTGATCCTGCATGCTGAAGAATCTGTGTTTGTTCGCCTGTACTTCAGAATATATAAATAAATTTAGACCAATTTTTTTAAAAAAACATCAAAATTGTTTACAATTTAATTTTGAAATTGCAAAACCAAAAGTTCTGAAATTTTAGATAACGTTCTAAGGTAAGCATGGCAAATTGATAATCAAAATTTATCAGTTTATCCCCTGTAAAAACTTGATGGCCTCATCTCAAAATTTTGCTGAATAAATTCTAAGAATATCTACACTTATGTTCACATTTTCTTGAACCGTTTATACAGGTGATTAAAAAAATATGAAAATGAAGCAAGTTTATTTTACTGAATAACCAAAAACGATTTATTCCATTTTCTCAAAATTTTGAAAATACAGTATTGCTGTTAGTATTACATTATAGTATCAAATTGTTACATGTGTGGGCGATTAAAATTTGCAAAATTAAATTTTATAATTATTTATCTAAACAATTGGATTTGTTTGATTATACTTCAAGACCAAAGGAAGTTTCTTTAACTGTTATTTTACTAATTATTACCAATAAAATAAATTAAACACAAAAGTGCTATTTTTTAGTTTTGTTTAAACATCGTAATACATTTGCAGTAGATTGACAATTTGAGATTAAACATATCCAACGTTAAAATGGGTATTAATAACAATTATAATGTATAATTAAATAATGTTATAATTTAACCAAAAAGTGTTTTTCCATAAACACAAAGTTATAAAATAAAAATCATTAAATGCAAACATTGTTAAATTAATCCCGAAAATGTGCAATTTTGCAGCCAAAATTTCTAAAATTATACTTAACGTGATGACCTTCCAGACACGAGCTACGTGAAAAACGGCCACGTTTTTTGACTAATTGTATTCAGTTTTGATTTCGGTTCGGCGGGAGCACCAACATCGAGGCGACCTTTTGACTTAAAACTAGTGCATTTTCGCGAATTTTCTAATTTATTGTTCATAAATATTAGTGAAAGTGTGTTGTGTTGGTGCTGTGAACACGAAAAGTGCCCAATTTGGGAGGATGTTTTTCCAAAAAGGCCCGAAATCGGGGTGAGTACGACTTGGGTTTTAAATAAGCGGGTTCCGTGATTCGAATATTAAGTTACAAAAATCCGCAAATTGTGTAAATAATTGTTACACTGGTTCGATAAATTTCTAAGAAAATTTCGAGGAAGATTCAAGTTTGCCGGTCGAAGCGGGTGACTTTTTGGCCGTTTTTAGCGGTGATGGTAATTTTTCTCGTTCGTTGTGGCGATGTAAAAGTTGAAATATTCTGTGAATTTTTAAATTATTGGCGATAATTGTTAAGAAATTAGAATCGTGTTGTTGTCGTGATTGTTGAGGAACGAGGTGAACATTCAATGCCACTTTTTACAGAAAAGTCGGAAGAGCCAGTTCGTTTCTATCGTTACACTCGTTTTTTATGGGGGAGCAAAAACACTTCCCATAATAATTATTATTAACGCGCCGATTTCACTTTTTTTTTTTTTAATTTTGTATCAAAGTGTTTTGCTAAATGTCGAGTAGCGTTGCATAAAAAAAAAACAAGTACGAGAATGTTTTGGAAAAAATAAATACGATCAAAGTTGTCTTCAGTTTGTGTAGGTATGTTATGTTGCATAATTTTTTTATCTTTTTTTTTTTTAAACGAAATATCGCCAAATTTTGCGATTTTTAATTGTTAGTGAAATTAGCTCGTGCATCCGCTGCTTGAAAACTATCATGAAACAATTAAATAATATTCATATCATAATTAATACAAAAGCGTTTTCCTACATTCAGTTATGTCATTTTCAGTTGATAAAAAAAATAAAATTCATAAACGTATTTCTATCTGTTCTCAAGACATAAGGATGCGTAGTTTTAATTGGTACACTCTGTATATCTACATACATATTTATTTTAACTCTTTGGGTTACTATAAAAAAACCTAAAACTCACAAAATCAAATTATATGATCAAAAATTTATTTGATTAAATCAAATAATTAATTTTTTTTTATCATTTTCGTAATATTGAAGACTTCGTAGCGTTCCAAAATATGATTAATTTAGCTCCAAAATTATTACTAAATTTATTGTAGCGGCAGTTAACAATAAATTAAAGTAAATAAATAACTGTTATTTCTGGTTAAATAAACATTATAATAAATTTGATATAGTGTGATAATTTGCGATTAAACATCTTCAACATTTAAAACAGCTATTCCCCAAAAAAATTACAAACGACAGGCGGGAAATGTGATAATTTTGCTCTCTCATTGGCTTGTTATGACACATAATTACGTAATGACTAGGTACACGACATAATTAAACAAATTTAAACAATAATTAATAATTAATATTATAATTATTAAACGGAAAAGTGTTTTTCTACAAAGATAAATTAGTTTGTGCAAATATTGTTAAATTAAACCAAAAAATGTGCAGTTTCTCGGCCAAAGTTTTTTGTAAAATTATTTTAAGCAGGTCATCATGACGTACGATGAAGTACGCCCCGGCCGCGTTTTTTGACTAATTGTTTTTCGCTTCGATTTCAGTCAGGTACCAGTAACACTGATGAGACGTTTTGACTTAAAAATAGTACGTTATCGTGAATTTTCTAGTTTGTTGTTAATAAATATTAGTGAAAACGTGTCGTATTCCCGAAAATTCGTTGCGATAGTGCTGTGAATACGAAGGAGGAGGATAATTTTCAAAAAGGGGCCGAAAACGGTGTACGTACGATTTAGCTTTTAAGCACGGGACTCGTGATTTGTCTAATAGTTACAAATTCCGTTAACCTTGTTCGAAAAGTTCCAAAATTTTTGGGAAAATTTCGAGATCTATTTAATTATGATGGTATTTTTTTTTAATTATGATATTTCAAATTTTTTCAACACACAGCATAGTAAAATTTAACTTTATTTATACTTCAATAAATCGCATATCTACTTTTGTTTGCCGTTAAAAAATACTGTCCGTTAAAAATAATCTTAATACGATATTTTGTGAATTTTTGCATTGCTAAAAAACTCGAAGCAATTGGAAAAACGTGGCAACGATTCATCGTAATTTCAAAAATAAAATATGGTTATAAGGCCTAAGAACAGGTAATCAGATTATATAAAAATATACAGGTGTCCAAGTTAAACCTCCACGGCCTTATATCAGAAATATAGAAATTTTTAAACACCATTGTTTTTAGTTCGAAGGGTAAACATTAATTTAGTCCATTGCAAATATGAGGCATATATGGCGTCGGCGTCGCGACGCAAACATATATTTTTTAAATTGCAACGTAGTTTTTTAACGGATTTTGTTAGACCGTTAAATTGCGATTATAATGATCTACATTCTACAACAACTAGATATTTATTACATCTTCAGTTGATAAGAAAATTACGTAAAAAATTAAAATGTTAAGTAAAATTAAGGACTAACAAAATTTTCGTTCCTGCATTATCATATCTTTATTTTGAGTTATAGGGGTTATCATAAAAAAAAAACTAAAATTCACAAAATCAAGTTTTATAGTAGGTATCTAAGAAACTGGAGTTGTAGGATTAAATTAAAGAATCTTGGCCAACATTCTTTTTATTATTTTCAAAATGTTGAAGGCATTGATGCCGTTCTAAATATGCTTAAGATCTTATTTTGTTCAGTAATGCACTTCACTACTTCCATTCATTTCTAATAATAATTAGCTCCAAAATTATTAATAAGTTTCTATTTTTCCCGCGCAAATCAAAGTCAAGGACACTTTTTGTTCTTTGCAACTGTTACTTTACTAATTAACAATAAAATAAATAAAATAAATTAAATTAATTAAATAAATAAGTGTTATTTCTGAATAAATAACAACTGTAATAAATTTGATGTAGAGTAACAATTTGTGATTAAACATCTCAAATTTTAAAAATATATAGTTATTCCCCAAAAAATTTTCAAATGACAAGCAGGAAATTTGGTAAATTCAATACCATTGCCTCGTTTTTACATATAATCACGTTAGGACTAGATTCATTACATAATTAAATAACATTTAAACAATAATTAATTTTCGTGCAAAACGGAGTACTACGTACAACTTGAATTTTAATTGGGGGAGGGGGGGGGGGCGTGATTCGTATTTTCGTGTTAATAAATTAGTGATAGATGTTAGAAAATAAAATCGTAAAATTCACGCATTACGGAAAACATTCAACCATGTAAAAAATAAACTTTTGTAAATTATATATATTTTTTATTTACAGTGGGTCCGTATCTATGAAGATGAGGGGATTCGCTAAAAATGTAGCAGAAGTGGAAGCCAAACAGGACAGACGATAAGGCAAAAGGACTGGATTTAAAGGGTAAGAACCATTGGAATAACTGATTTTAAGTTTTCCAAGTGACATTTTGTATAAGAAAGGATACTGTAACAATAAATTAAACAAATTTTGAATAAAAAAAAAACTTTCACTATACAAGGTGACTGCGAAATACATGCAAAAAAAAAATGGGGAATAGCTCACAATATGATTATGTCACTGTGTAAAATTCACGGTCCTAAGTAGTAGCAGTGTCTAGAAAAAATTATTTGAAATTAAATGTAAATTGTTGTACGCGCCGCTGGACTGTTTTGTGACCTACATAATTACTACAATGAATGGAACAGAGCGAGTGGGATAAGAACCAAAAAAGTTACTTTATCAGGTACTTTTTTAATCGCAACGTGAAAAACACGAAAAGGGCCAGTTAGCATCGAGCGGTCGGTGAAATCGGTTTATGGTGGAGTTTTCCCATGCAGATTGTGTCGAAATGGTAATTGGTGTGCGTGAATATTTGCATCAATGGTACAACAACTCCGAGATCATGGTACCTTCAACTTCAAACTCACGATCGTGACCGTGATAGGACAGAAAGTGCATCCTACATTAAAAGAATACGGCCACATCCATACCATGTTGACAAAGTACAGGGTTTGGAGCCCGCTGATTGTCCACGTTGTGTAACTCACTTTTTGTCCGATGGAACTCCACATACTCGTCAACAAGTCGATTTCAAGAGACGGTTTTCGATAAATGTGCATCAGTTGGATGAAACAGTTCGTTTGTGGAAATCAACAGTGTCCAGAAATTATCGAAGAGCTTCAACAAGTGAAAGTGGCAGCCGCTACTTCGGTGTTTTTTTACCTATCAACAAACCTCTTGCGACGCTCTGACGCCTGTATTGCTAGTCAAGGACAACATTTTCAACATTTCTTGTAAAAAAGGTAGTAGCATTCTAAGTTGCTCTTATTTCTGTTCCAATAAACAATGTAAAATCGTTGTGACAAGGACCAAACATCCGTCAGAATCAAAATTACCAAAAAACTTTCACACTGACCTTTAACGATGAAGGAGTAAATGAATGAACGAATGATAAGCAGCAAAAAGTCGGTTTTACTTTTAATTGAAACTGAAAGTGTTTAGGTCGTTTTTATTCGAACGTTTTTCCAACTCTGTTTACAAGGTGGCTCAGTGCCTTCGTATCGAGGGTGGTTCATGAGGGTTTTGCCCCATTCGATTTTTAATTTGTTTTTTCTATATTTCGGCTCTACTAGGGTGGGGGATGCCGTGGTTAAAATATTTGCACTTATTTCGCAGTCACCCTGTATAGTATTCCATCACATAAAAAATAAAAAATGATATTTTTCTTTATTTACAGTAGGTCCGTATTTTGAAGATGAGGGAATTCGCTTGAAATAATAGCAGAAGTAGAAGCCAGAAAGGTAGGATTTTTCTTCTTAATGAAATGTCATCTTTGGGGGATGTTAATTTCCATATGCGCGACTAAAAGAAATTAATAGTGAGAAGGAGTGCTGCTAGAACTTCGAGCCTGCGTTGCATCAAGAAATCGTAGTTCAGCCCCAACCGGACAAACAATTAGGCATTTGGACTAGATTTAAAAGGTAAGAATCATGCGTGGAATTGACTTTATTTTTAGGTTCTTAAGCGACATTTTGTACCAGGACGGCTCATGTAACAATAAATTAAACAAATTTTAAATAAAAAAATATAATAATCAATTACAAAAAAATTAACTTTTGCTAAATGATAGGTTTCTTTGGTTACAGGACGCCCGTATCTTTGCAAATGAGGGGATTCGCTACAAATAGTAGCAGAAGTAGAAGCCAATAAGGTATTTTTTTTTTTCTTAATGAAATGTTATTTTTACTAGATGTTAATTTCAGAGTGCGAGATGTTAAGTGCCGAGTGCGCGTTGTTAACTTCCGGGTGTGCGGTGATAAGTCCCAAGTGCGCGATTAAAACCCGTAGTGAAAAGTGGTGCTACTGGAACTTCGATCCCGAGGTGCGTCAAGGAATGGTGGCTCAACTCCAGCCGGACAGACGATAAGGCATTTGGGCAGGATTTAAAGGGTAAAAATCATTTGTATTATTGAATTAAACAAATTTTAAATAAAAAAAAATTTCTACATTAAAAATTCAATTGCATTAAAAATTAACTTTTGCTAAATGATATTTTTCTTTATTTACAGTAGGTCCGTACTTGAAGACGAGGGGATTCGCTACAACTATTAGCAGAAGTAGAAGCCAAAAAGGTAGGATTTTTTTAATGAAGGATCATTTTTGGGGTGCGTAATTTAAACATGTAGTGAAATGTAGTGCCACCAGAACTTCGATCGTGTGGTGTGTCAAGAAATGGCAGCTCATCAGTCATCACCAAATGGACAGAATTTAAAAGGTAAGAACAATTTGTGTAACATATTTTATAATCTAATCTAATACTATTAAACGAGCAAAGTTTGTATATATATATGTAATGGGTTTCTCGAAAACGGCTCTAACGATTTCGATGAAATTTACAGGTTAGGGGTTTTTTGGGTCAAAAAATCGATTGATCATAGTTTTAACTTCTGAAAATTACAGCTTCATACATTTTCAGCAATTTTCAGGCGGTGAATTATATTCGTTGCTAGGTAACATCGGATGACACTAGACGAACACGAGATTGTTTTATAAGAGAAGTTTGGGTGACAGTCTGACAGTACGTTTGACGTACCTTTTTATCTTCAATTGTACGTACCGAAACATACTCTACTGTATAGAGGACGTTAAAATTCACCCTCTGAGGTGACAAAATTTACGGAAAACTAAACAGTGAGCGGATAAAAGGCACACGAAAGTGCGTTGAGTTAAGGTTATGTTGTCAAGCATTCATTTCAGAGGTTCCACGGTCAGGGTAAATATGTGATCGTTTTCCGGGATGGGACCGTGTTATTTCAGTTTTTGGGCTCAACTTTTCGCACACTTTCGTAAGTGGCATCTTCGGGAGCAGGGTTGAGATTGAGAAATTAGGAATAACGCAAAAGAGCACGGTAACTCAGTATGTTAATCACACCAGAGGCGAAACCATTCTGGCAGTAAGAAAGTGGTTGTGACCTTTTTCTAGAGTCGAGAGAGAGAACTAGGAAAAAAAGAGAACGACAGAGAGAGAACTTGGGTAACAAATGAGATTTTAATAAAAATGTCAAGCAATAATTCCAGTTTTCTATTCTTTAATCTCTACATGTCACTCATCTCTATTTAAAACAAAGACTGCTTATGGAATTTCTTTTTTAATGTGTATTTTTAATTAGCGCGTGTACTTCAAAATGCATACTATACGCATATTTATCTGTCCTAATCTGATCTAATACTACCAAACGAGCCGAGTGAAGCTCGGTCAACCAGATATTGAATACTGATATACGACTAGGGCTTAAAAAAAAAGAAATAATCTCTTTTTAAACGATAATTTTCTTTGATGACAGTAAGCTGGAATCTTTGTAGAAGAGGGATTCACTGCAAATGGTAGCAAAAAGAGCCACATGTTGCAACAGAAGATTAAAGAAATATGTCAGGGATTTTGGACGACTGGAAACAGTAGCAATATCATAGATTTCGTGGGGCCACTTGTTCTGTTTAGCAAATTGGCGACAGCTATGTCCCCATCAAGCGCAACGAAAGTAACAATATGCTATCAATTTAACACTTTTGAAGCTTAATAGAAGTGGTGAAGTGGCATATAATGCGGCGGATTTTGACAAAATTATTTTGTCGAATAGTACTTTTCAATCTTTTCATGATAATTTGCGGAGTAAAATTCTGTGACGTGTAAAACGAATCTAATTGGTCAGATCCCTTCGTTTTAAAGCGACGGTAGAATTGAGAAGAAAATGATATAATATAATATTTATACTTACTTATGTACTAAGATGTCTCCAGTATAGCCTCCTTAATTTTTTAAAAAGATCCACATTTATTTTTTTTTTAACTAAGATATATTCATTTCAAGTGTGAAGCTTTTCTTATCTCCGTGAGTACCTGTCTAATGCAAATTGACCTCAATTTTAAAACATGAATTGACATCTGCATCTATTGTACCTTTTACACACGAAAATTTATACACAAAAAGCACTGTCAGGTTTGAATTAAGTCTTCAAATTTGAGAAACGAAACATAACCTCACTTTCTACCAAATGATAGGGTTGCTTGATTGTTTCCAAACCAATGATGCCAACCATACGGTGTGTTGTGGACTACTATAGTTCAGTAAATTTTCGATTACAACACAATTAAAATAAAATCAAGTTTATTTGCACTATAAGTTTTCTCTTCATACATTAAATATTTCTAAAATAAAATTCACATCAAATAAGTGCTACTGCAACTTTATAACCTCGAATGACATAAAATCTTCCTCATTTTTATAATAAATTAATAAATACCATAAATAATTACACCAAACATTAATTACTGACGTTTTCATATAAAAAATTAGATTAAAAAAATTCGAATTTTATCACTAGATGTTGATTCTTCAGTACTAGTCAACAGCCATAGGTAACACTTCAAAGCAAAAATAACGTTAAATTATTATTTCGTTCCAATCCTCTTCCCTGGTTTCATGGGGGGTATGTCTGAGAATTCAACTGAATTCTCATTAGCATAAGCAACAAATTTTTCACCATATGTTGCTGCACAGGTAATCAACATCATAACATCGCCTTCAGCTTCATGGACATGCAAAGGTTGCTTCGATGTTAGTCTTGTATAAACATCTCCAAGTTTATAACTAACAAATTGTCTACAAAGCAATATTAAAACCAGTACAAAAAATACACCACAACTTACCTCACACTAGTATATTTACGTTTCAAAGGGACTAGCGGATCACTTCTATTATTCTGTGCTTGTGTGTGATCAGAAATTATTTGCTTCTTTGGTGTGGTTTCATTAAATTTTTGTACATCAACAGGTGTCAGTCTACTTTGTTCCAATTCACGTTCAAAATCTTCACTAGCTTGGCACAGAAGCTCATCAAAATTATCACTAAATTCCATAGGCACTTGTTTAGGTTTTTCCTCAACCACCTTTTTATTACTGTCAATATTTTTAAACGCTTCAATTGAGTCAACACACATGATATTTTCACATAAGCCATTTCCAGTTTTCTCTATTTCCGCTCTCAGAATTGGATAGTCAAATCGGTTACCGTTATGAGCCACCAAACAAATGGGTTTTTGATTCATGTTTAACCATTTATTCAAAATATCGACTACATCACTAGAAAAACATCCTTGATGCTCCAACAAATCATTCGAAAGACCTAAACACGCCCCACTAGGAATTAAAATAACTTGAAAATGGAAACTCACCAGTAATATCCGTGCTCTCGGGGGTAATCATTTTGTTTGGATTGAAACAAAACGAGAGCTTGTTGTGCACTCTTGGAAAGCAACCTAGTTCAATATGATCGGCTTGAACTGCCACAGCGCAAAATTCTGTGATTTTCGTTAAATTGTGCTCCATATGAGGCAAGCCTGTGGTTTCTAAGTCCAAAAAAACGAATGTTTTGATGGGAGGCATATTGAATGAGGTTATGGTACGCAGTTGGTGAAAATATGAACACAAGTGGCTGCTTCTAAGCATATTCTTATCATTATCCTAATCTGCCCATAATTGCTATGTAATTAGCATTTGGACGATGGGAAATCTACGTAATGGTAAACAAAATTTGCGCGCCGGTACGGTGGTGGTGGTGTCAATTGTTTGACAGTTTTGACACTTGAAACTGTTGACAGCGCGCAAATTTTATAACAATTAAAAATACATTTTCGTGTTTTTGCAATACTTATTTTCAATCTTTAACGACTTTCGCTATGTGTGAATTTCTGTTATAATGCGTTTTTTTTTTAATATTGATCTTACTTTACGTTGTACAACCAAAAAAAATGAAACTCCCTAGACTGATTTGGTAATTTGTCATTGTCAAAAATAAATAACCTTCAAGTAGTACGCTAGTACATAACAAAAATAGGTTCCTTAGGAAAATGATTTAAAAAATGATACCCACGGTTAACATCGACAGTGGTTAGTTAATAATGAAGGTCGTACAGTGCTTTTAGAATCGTGTTATAAATAGATAAATATGGCTCGGTTAGTTGTCAACTTCTGCAAGCTAAACACTCGAACTAGCCTTGTTTTCTTAGCAAAGCCTCCAAAAATGCCCGAGATCTTTAGGTAAGATCTCGTTGATGAAGCAAAACGTGCACTAATAATGTCAAAGTTTTAGAAACATTCACATAAGTCCAGCTCTCCACCGGAAGTCTCTCTACAAAACTGAGTCCAAGAAAATTCGCTTCTACATTGTCCACCGATACGTGGAATATTTGAAAAACTATGACCAAATTTTGGAAAAGAACTTTCCAAGCGCGATGCAAGTGTACCGCATGTTTAGCATGGGGATTAAAGATTTTGCTGTAGATCTTAAAGAGTACTTCAAAATAGTCCGATTGTTCAACTCTCCTGAGAAAGATAAGTTTAGAAAATTGACCCGTAAGGAGATTGAGTTGTACCATCAAATGCCCAAAGATATGTTCAAGGTGGCGCCATTATTGTTACTGTCCGCGCTGCCACTAGTCCCTTATGTAGTATTCCCCATTGCATATTTCTTCCCCAGGGTTTTTCTGTCACGGCATTTCTGGACGTTACAGCAAAAATCTGAATATAGCATTTTTTATTTGAGGACGCGACTATTAAATAATAGATCATTGTTTAGATGTGTTCAGGCGGAACTAGATGGATTAAAGGGACATGGGCTATACAAGGACTGGGCAGTTATATTGGGGATGATAGGCAGCGGGGTGCAACCCAAGGCTGAACAGATTTTGAAATGTAAAGATTTATTTATGTGCCAGCCATATCATTTGTTTTATTTGAAGGGGAAACATGTGGTAAGCATGAATAATCCTTTTATTGCGACGTTGTTTGATTTGTACCGTCATAAAATTTTATCACTGAAAATCTTGATATTTAAAAAATGTAAAGCAGCAAAACACTTCATCTTTTCATTGAAATGTGTAGGTGCAAATTAAAACGTACTTGCAAAAATTAATTTATTTACTTTAGTGGATTGGTGTGAATTAGTATTTTAGTTTTTTTTAATGTTGTAGAAATATTTATTGAAAATTCACAACCTTCATCTGGGATGGTTTAGGCGGGCGCGTCTAGTAGAACGAGCTGTGATACTTAAAGAAATGGACAGAGCCATAATTAGAGAAGGTGGCGTCCATAATATGCCCATTGAAGCTTTAAGAAATGCCTGTCTTATAAGGGGGCTCAATCCTGCGAATATGCGTAACGAAGACATGGTGAATTGGTTAAATAGTTGGATTAAAATTTCAAATGTTGTGGATAAAGAAAACTTGTCTCTCTTATTACATTGCCCGATTTTATTGGCTTACAACGAGCCGTCAAACTGGATTTTGATTTATAAAACGAAATGAGTTAGTTTTAGTTAATTTATTTTCTGATATTTGTGATACGCAAAAGTACCAAAATAATTTTGTATTATATAGTTTAGAAGTATGGCACGACGTGAATAAAACGATACGTTTGTTACAAAGCTTTATTGTTTCTTTTCCATTTATAATATAACTAATAAAAATATTCTAGAAATTGCCAAGAAATATTCGTCACGTTCCCTCAAAAAGTGGTATAAAGGCCGGTAAATCCCCCAATTTTGGTCTCTCCCTCGAAACTGTCTTTATAACAGGTTGCTCCCCCACTGAATCTAATTTTGCAGACGAGTCTTTAGCGGAATCCTTGTAGTATCGATTCTTTTCCGATACTTCTTTAACAAGCGACTCAGTCACAACTCTCTTCTTTTTCTCTTTTTTCACGAAACATTTCTTGGCAAGCGTATTTAAAACCTTACTATTTTTTCTTACCACGTTTCCGTGTGGATAGGGACACCTCCGTTTTGCGCATGTCCTACTCTTCTCAAAGTCCGGACACAAAAACTGGTGGCGCTTGTCGCACTAAAACAAACGTCAAAACAAACCATTTTTACATAAACGGTGCATACTTCTGCCGCCCTCTTGCAAAAACCTTCCAGGAAATCCCTGCAGATGTCCGCCTTAGGGCTGATCTTGACGTGGAGGTAGGGACAGTTGTCTTTAGAACACAAACCATCAAGATAGTATTTACACGTTGGCATTTTTTCGTGGGAAACTTTGTGTGATAGGAGACAATTTTCGTTGCGACACGCTCCTTGCAGAAATCTTGGAAAATATGGTTAGTGAAATTTCACTTTATAAAGTTTCGCCTCACCTAGTGCACAGCACAATTTGGTCTGGATTGTGCAACTTGAAACACGTGCCTGTCGTTTTCCCCGGACATCTTCCGTATTTTCGGAAAATGGGACACGGGATGTTACATTTCCGCAATTTACTAGGGGATGGTTTAACTGGAGTTTTCTTGGATCTGAAATAAGACAAAGCCTAATTTTCCCCCTAAGATTTAAAACAAAGCTAGACCTGATGACTTTGTACCGTCTAACCAAACTTCTTCGATTGCTTGATGTACTTAAATGTTGCTTGGTGTCTTTTCTCACTAATTTGTACTTGGAAGATGATTGCACTCTGAAACTTTGATTCCTCTTGAACGAATTCGCTTTCAGGGTCAATTTTGGCTTCAGTAAAGATTCAGACGCTTTTTTTAACGAATTTGGAGATTTTTTATACAGGATGCCATTAATGTTGACGAAACCGGGTTTACACAAATTGGAGTTTTTCTTCAAGAGCACATTTTTCGCCACCACGTCCATACTTAAGAATCTATTAACGTACACATACCTCTTCTTAACCGTTTTCAAAATAGGTTTATTTACGCTGTTTCTTTTGTCTAACTTAAACTTATTAATTGGGCTATTTTTGGCACCTGATCGCACGATTTTGTACTTTGTGTGTAACGAATTACGTCGTTTTCTAGGTGAAGTATCAGGTGAATTGCAAGGAATTCGCACTAACTTATTTCTAGTAGATATCACAGTTGTTGTTTTTGATTCGACAACAGGTGTGGGTTTAATGTTTGGCACGTTATTTCCAAAATTTTTCAGTACGTTTGGGTTTACATGGATTTTTGGTTTTGTAGTGGGGAGTAGAGTTTGAGGAGCGTGGAACTGGGGGTTGACAAAGACTTTTTTTTTGAAGTGGGGATTAACGAGGACTTTGGTCGGAGGGGCTGGGTTGGGATTGATAAAATTGTGTTTTACGTAAATAAAACGATTCGTAGATGGCTTAGGGATGTCCATAAGATGGGGAGGAGGGTAATAAAATTGGGATTCTCCAACCATATGGTGATGATTCACTGCTGAAATATTTTCGAATTCGCATAAGTGGATCTTGTGAAGGTGTTTACAACACTTACTTGGATAATAGTTCATTGTGGATAGTAACGTCCGATTTTAGTTTAATTGGTCAAAATGTAGGTTTCACACTTAAAACTTTAAAATCATTCACGATATCACCAGCTGAGATAAATTGACATTTAGATATTTTAGACAGTATATACGTCAGAAATGACAGTTTGAATGATTTGAGCATGCGCCTGAATTTGTAAATATCGTATTTATTAAATTATACAATTTTTGTTACTATTTTCATCGTTTAAATACGACAGTTTATACAATTAATAAGAAATACATTTTTATACAATTTTTACGATATTGTGACAATCGTAAAATTCGTTTAGTTTCTGTTTTGAGTAACTATGTCAACTGTCAAATGAATATTTCCGGTGACGTTGCGGCCATCATTCTTTTGGTTAGAGGGTGAAGCATGGTAAGTACTGTTTGTTCTTTAGTCGAAAATATAGCCACAAATCAGAACAAATTCTCCCAAAATTACTTTTCCGAAAGTTACTTATAACTCAAACAAAACATAGCTCTTTAACTCCAAACTTATTTATTACACTGCCCACAACAATTGTTGGATAACCCACATGGCACTTCTAAAACTAATGTTAAATTTTCTTGTAGCCGTTCCAAAGGTTTGTAGAAACCGGCCGCGTGGCCTTTGTGTCCGATGGCCCCCATAAGGGAAAATTGGTCAGCATAGTCGATGTTATAGACCAAACTAGGGTGAGTAAAAAAAGTTAGGTTATCTTCTTTCATGTGTGTTATTTGTCTGATGATCCACTTTATTGATAGGAATTGCCGACTGATTCATAATGTAGATAAATCAAAACTGATGTTTTGTTTATTTAAATATTAATCAAGTTAGTTTTAAGTAGATATTAATACCAAATTGTTGTAGGTATTGGTTGATGGCCCAGCGAGTCAAGTCCCCAGGGGTGAACTGCGCCTAAATCAGCTACACTTAACCAAGTTCAGAATCAAATTCCCCTTCACGGCTTCAACACGTATTGTTCGTAAAGCGTGGAATGACGCCAAAATTAATGAAAAGTGGGAAGGCTCTGCATGGTCTAAAAAAATGGCTGCAAAGGAAAAGGTGTGTAAATGAAATTCTCTTTTTGTAGAAGAATTTGTCTGTAATTACGTGATGATCCAGTTATTGATAGGAATTGCCGGCTGATTTAGAGCTGAAGCCAACTTACGTACTGAATGTTGCATGAACTTGTATTGTTGGTATTTTTGTGAGTTCAAGTGTTAATGAGTGAATTTTGGTTTTAGAGGGCTCAGTTGACAGACTTTGACCGTTTTAAACTGAGGAGAGCGAGGTCGCGCAGAAACCACATCAGGACTATTGTTTTCAGGAATTTGAAGAAAGCCGCGTCTAGAAATGGGACTTTGTACGGCAAAAAGAAAATGGCTAAGGGTGGAGATAAGCCAAAACCTAAAAAAGCCGGCAAAGGAAAGAGCGCATAATTTGTTAAAATTAACAGATAAATACATTTTTTAAGGAAGACGTGTGTGTTTTAATTTTCTTTATTCCTGGTTTGTCAGCTGGTGTGCGTCAGTAAGTTAGAAAACGAAGTGTTTGTTAAAAAGCTAAAGAATCAAATTTGTTGTAAATTTAGTAAATCGTGTTAGAAAAATGAAACATGATCAATTTAAACAGCATTCGTGGGTGATTAAATTTATTAAAAAAAATATATGATGCTAATGATTTTATGCAACCAACAATACATCTTGCACTGAAGTTCTAAAAATTAGGAAATCGTTAAAGGAATAATATTGAAGTTCGTCAGTCCTACTTTCAAAAAATGTCGGGTTTTACTGAGTCCACGATTCACAGTTTGTGAAATATAAGATTCTGGACATATCATTCAATTTTTTTTATTTCTTCCAAATTTGGTGATAAAATTTCAAAATATTGGAACCTAAACCTTGACTGGAATTTAATTGTGACATGTTTTTTATACGTAGTTTGCAGCTTTCTAATGTGTAACTCGCAAAAATGTAGTATGAAATTTTACAGTTTTACACTATGTTGATTTAGCGATCTCAAAACGTCAATAAAACATTAATTAATTAAACAAATGAAAAACAGTTTATTCAATTTTCTCAAAGTACTGGGAACACAATATTATCAAAGTTAATGACGTCATCATATCAAATATCATTTGAAACATATGTAGCGTATTATGCTCATTAAAATATACCTCGGAGTTATCAAAAATATTGCAAAATCCAATTTTATAACTTAATTAAAAAACTAGACATTCTTTTATTGTGGTTACAGAACATTAATTTTTTATTATGTTATTTGTTCATCTTCTCCAGATAATTATTAAAGAAATTTGAAGAAACAAAATATGATTATGAGATTAGCGTTTTAATTAGTGAACTTTGTTAAATTTAAAGAACACTCTATATTGTGAGATTGTGAGTGTTTCTCTGACTTGTTTGTTTCTATTTATATTTATAGTTACACTCGATAAAATTAACGCAGTGATAATTTAAAGATATTATTGACTGAGATCTTCACTCCTCTAAAGCATCGTGTTATTTAGCCTAGTTGTTTTTTGACGTCATTAAATTTATATGAACTTGGATGAACGTTTATTACGGTAGAATAGTCTATTACGTCCTCGCACGTGTGGATTCTGATGCAGCGCAGATCATGGTGTGGAGTTCATCAAAAGAGCTCTTCGAAATATTTAGCAAAGCTCATTTATGAGTACGTTGTTGTTAGAGTTTTCAGTGGCTGCTGGTGAGTGTTTGATATCTAAAAATTCGCTTCCAAATTTTGAATGGTCGTGGAAAATTTGAGCACTACTTACGTCAAAATACAACAAAAGGGGTGTTAGATAATTATTATCTACGCCATTTATTTTGTTTGCTATTTTAAAGTAACTACGCGTTATAAACCTATCGTTTTTCGGCTTTCCAGTATCCTGACCAATTTAAAGCAAAGGCCATAAAGTGAGAAGGTGTTTAGTGTGCTATTCGTAGGATTTTTGAGGCCAGATCACTCACTACAGCAGCCTTTTCGGGGATAAAATGCAGGGTCTCCAGTGCCACAGCCAAACAATAAGTGAGTTTTGGCTGTTGTAACTTATTTTTTTTATAATTATTAATAACTAACTACACTGCATTAATTTTGAAACGTGAATTTACTTCAGCTTTAAAATTTTTGATTAATTGCGAATCATGTTTGTAGTGAATTGTAATGTACCTACCTACAGTATTTTAATGGCAAATATTTTGTTTAACAAAAGAACATAAAAAATCTTTACGTTTTAAATAATGTTAAATACTAAGAAGTCAGAATAATCTGAATGGACGCATTTTCAAAAATTCTGCAGTGAAAGATCTGAATGTTTTTCTTCTAGTTGTTTCTAGTACTGAAAGCTTTTGATTTTAATAAAAGTGCCGGAGAAAAATAGAAGAAGGATGTTGCAAAGAAGTATGGAACATCTTTTGCAACAAAAATAGTATAAAGATTTTGATATTAACTTTTGAATTATTAAAACAAAAGTTACCATTTTTTCCTGAAAAAGGAAAACATATTGTTACGTTGAACGGGCGAATAAAACCGGCGTGGGGTGAACTCAACAATTTATTTCTTACTCGAATTTACACTTTTATTATAACTATTCAGCGATTACGTACAAAATAAGTCCGGCGTAACTTGTCTGGACGTTCACAGGACTCGAAGTGATGACTTTATTCGTTATCTGAATAATAATAATTCGTTCCCGAAGGTGGCCTCTATTTAAACCCATACTTCTGCAATCGAGGTCTTTCTCGAATATCCATTGCGGTTCCATCTGGGTCTGTCGCGACATCCGCTTACAGGCTTTCCTTTGGTGAACGCCGCGTCGCTCGGCCGATGAGTCATATTACATACGAGAAGAAACGCATACATACTAGAAGACTTATAGGCGTCATACTGGAGGGCGTATGGGTTTATTTGGGAACAATATTTAGAGTATCTATTACAGAAAGAAAAAGAGAACGTTTTAAAATTTTAGGCCGACACTGGATATACATATATTGAGGTAGAATGAGTTTTCTAATTATGTATTACCTGTGGTTGCAGTGTTCGGGTTATTTTAAAAGTTGTTCAATAGAATGGAAAGTATCAAGAGAAGTTTGGCTTATGATATTTTCAATACATTTTCAGAATGTAATATTTCCATTACTAACAGATTTATTAATATGTTTCATGACTTCTAGACTACGAAAAAATAGGTTTTTCGTTTTTGCTTATCTGTCGTCTGTCTCTTGTCTGTCGTCTATAAGTAATTTATCCAAGGGTATTACTTGATTCTCAATATACTTCTCAATCACGTTAGGGATATTACTAAAAGAAGTTGCAAAATTTTCTTTCTTGGACTGATTAGATTTGTATTGAAATATCCTTCAATTGTTTGGTTTCCTCGCCAGATTATTACTGTTGTTATTTTTATTATTAAATTAAAGCGACCGGACATGGCAAAGCCATCAGTTTTGCCCGCACTTTCTAGTTCGGACTCTTCATTTTGTGATAATGTGTCTTTCACCTCTCAGAAAGGGAGCACTCGGATTTATTAAGAAATGGCTTGTCCAGACAAAATTAGTAATGCCATTTTTGCAAGGAGACGTTAAGACCTGGGTTTACATTCATTCCTGGAGAGCTCACGTGACAAATCAGACGAAGAATACCACGGTATCACTTTAGACGTGCGGAAGAGCCGTAGGAAAATGTTGGAGTTTAACACCCAAAGTACCTTCTAGGGTGCTGTTATCTCGTGGGGCTCCACGAATGAAAAAGTCTGGACTAAAACTATTTTGGACCGAACACAATGTCTACGTACCATGGAAATACTGTTTGGGCTTTCTTCTCTTTATCTGTCGGTAGGGATCGGCTTTAGGTCGGGATTCCTGAGAATGCACAGCTCTGGTCAGTGAAAAAACACGACAACTACAACCAAGTCCATCTTCATAGTGGAGGATGGCAGCAAAATTCTCGCCGTAATGACAGTTCACTCATACGAAGTGCTGATACTTCTACGACAAGAGTGGAAGGAACATACCGAAGTCATGACCCAAAGAGTTGGATCATCTGCTATGCGGACCGTTTGGTTTTCAGGTCAGGTCAGGTCAGGTCAGGTTACAATCAAATACAGGATTTACCGGAATACAACGAAAAAGTTGTGCTCAGCTCGATACCTGGACACATGGGCAGTGTTGGGCAGTATCTAGATACTTGTATCTAAATAAAGTATCTAGATAAAATCGAATTTAAGCACAACATATCTGTATCTAGATACAAAATTAATGGCGCAGATACACATACATTTTTTTATTTCACTTTTTTTTCAGTAGTTATTAGTTGAGTTATACTAGTAGTAATTTTTGATACTTCATGTTGGTGGTTTTGGTCACATAAACAAAAATAGAGGTAAGAGGTCCACTAATAGTGTTCTGTCACGGAAATTTTCATATTTTAAATACCATCATTTCCTACATTGTAGCCTTCAGTATGTTGATGTTCGCTGTTCGTGTACAGAAATACGGTCGTACTTGAATAGAATTTATTTGTATCAACATAACAACTTAAAAAACTAACAATAACAAGTTGGACGCGACTCGGGACACAACCGCTTACGTAGACCGCACGAATGGAAGAGAGCGAGCGTCGGTTTATTTTTCCCGTGTTTCTTGTTCTTCGGGTATCCTCGTTCATCCCGAAGTGACTGTCCAATCCGGCGGCAGTGTAATGTTGGTTGCCTAACTTTTAGGAGCATGATAATTGCATGCCCACAAGTATTTATACATCTTTAAATATAATCCTGAGGGGTAATAAATCTAAGCCATGGTAAGATGGTATTTTAAAAACCATGAACCACAATTCACTATTCACTGCGTTTTATGCTTGTCGAGGCAAGGCACTTTATCTGTGTATCTGAGCAACCCGGGTCCGGTAGGCCCGCTGGTTGTATTTGTGTTATTAAATAAGAGTAATTTTAATAGTAAAAATATTTGTTTAAGGTATGTTATTATTTTTAGAAAATAGTAATTGCGTGTTACATAATGATTAATTTTTTCAATTAGCACAAATTAGTTTTGTAATCGACTAATCGAATGTTCAATACATACATTTCTCTCGCATAAAACGCATATTTGTTACTGTTTTATATCTTTACTTTTCAGACAATTGTAGCATCTTTTCCTGTTGCCACATGTGTCATTTATTCACTTTTTCATTGTTGGACCTTACGCGAGGCGGGCTTGGCAGGTCCGTTTTGCCCTAGAATGTGCCGATTATGTTTAAGTGTAATTATGTTGGGCAATAAAATTAATACTTTTACAACCCTCGGTAGAATAATTTATCGTGATATATTCTCAGAAATCGTGAAACGAGATTAAAATGAAATGAGTTTCAACAAAAATCTGAAAATTTAAAGTTGCACTCTGGTGATTCCGGCCTGCCAGGCAGCCTTTGATCCTATGAGGGGTTTAAATACCTTTCTAAGAAATTGTACTTATTTTACTTTAAACGGAATCAGCAATTCTTTCTAAAATGTATATACCTGCCGCACCGGGATAGACGATTACCGGACATGGTCATAAAAACATCGTAAGCCGATATTGAAGAATAATAATTTATGACAGGTTGCCGACAACAGACCTTCGGCACAGAATACTCATTTCCCGTATTCTTTTGAAATAGTAATTTTAATGCTGGAGATAATTATTAGATATACTCAAACACAATTTGGACACTGTAGTATGGAAATAAAAACAAAAAAATATTCTTTTTAAGCGTACGTAATAAATATTGCACAATTTGCGACACATCAAACAGCGAAGCGATGGCCTATTTGCAGGAAAAAAGAAAAGATTTTTCAGTCTTGAATAACTATGCTACAGTAAAATGTTTATTTTTTAAATTTAATACCACAATCCCTTCTTCTGCACCTGTGGAACAGGTGTTTAGTAGCGGAAACTAAATTCTGACACCAAGAAGAAATAATTTAGGTGACAATACGTTCGAAATGTTGTTAATTTAAAAAAAAATCATTAAACAATACATAAAAAATACATAAACATGTTTTCAGTTATTTTATTCGCCAAAGCTTGAAAAAGTATCTGTTTTCTTGTACCTGTTATCTAGATACATTTCGAAATAATCGAAAACAATCTGTATCTAGTATCTAGACACTTTTATCTTCCATATATCTATATCTGTATCTAGATATTTTTAAAAGTATCTGTCTCCAACACTGCACATGGGTCATAAAGGACATGAAAGAGTCAACGCTCTGAGAAGGCAGTTTTGAAAAGCGTCAAAAAGAAAGATTTAAAGAGTGTATGAGATTATGCCATCTTCAAGAGTGGTTGATATTGAACCTGCGCCACTCAGGCTGTTCATACAAAGTCTTGATGAGAAACGGAACGAAGAGTTATTGAGACTAAGAAAAGATCTCGGTATTGGGGTGTGGACTCCCGATAGCCATGCAGAATGTATTTAAAGGACGATGAGGCCCCAAGCACACTCTGGGTTCTTGCCCTCCCTGTGCTGGCATCAGGAGGCATCCGTGAGGAAACTACACAATTCTGGAGTCACATGTTACACAAGATGCACCTGTAAATTGTATCCTGAACTTCATTAAATGCACATAATTCTTGTAGGATTCGACATTATGAGAGGTGGCTTTATTTATAATAAAAAAAGTGAACAACAATTCTTACCTACAGTCTTTCATGCTATGGTGGCTGGTTTCTGGGGTTACCCTCCGTTGGACTGGTTCCAAACATCTAATATCTTGCTATAGTGCAGGAAGCGAAACACAATTAACACATTTAGACAAAGACCGTATAAAGGATTTTATAATTTTGAAAATACTACACTAGTTGCCTTAGCGAATGCTTTGCTTAGGAGAATCGGTGTTCTGTTAGTCTTCTTCGTAACGCATGGTTAAATAACAGAGTCGATTTGATTAACTTTTAACAAACCATACTCTCGAGAAAGTCTGTTAAAAAGAGACAAAGCATTTCAATAACCAATACATATGAAAATATTGGCGTTACATCTGTTACATTTGTAAAGACACTTGAGAATGTATCGGCAAAAGACTTCAGCAACCACGTGGTTAGTATTGTCTACAATATTGCCAGAGTTATCTCTAGTATTCAATAGTATTTGACACTTCAAACGGGTATTCTCGAGAATAGAGAAAATTATTATTATTATTAACTTTATTTTGCCCTTCGGGCTTGAATGGATACCTGATTCCATAAAACATGACAACCTTCGCTTTCTTTATTTTTGTTTACAGTCTTCTTACCTACCTTTGCATTTGCCATGTACACCTCCTTGATTCACTTCATTCCTCTTCCATCTTCTTTTAAAACCTGCTCTCATGATATCTTCATTTCTCTCATTCCTTGACAGTCACACAGTATTCACTATTTGCTCCGTCAAGGTATTGTGGCCATTGGTCGATTCTGTTATTCTCCGTTTTCATTCTTGCCTATCACAATTTTCGTTACGTATACTTTATTTCTCGATCTCCATACTCCCATACTGTCATAGTATTTATGTCTTTCTTTCCACATGTCTTCCTACATTCTTTTCTAACTCTCTTCTACATACTTTAGCATCTTACAGTCTTTTCTGTCACTCGTTCTGGCTTCATATTTTACCGCTCTTTTTTCTTTTCCTATTCTTAGCTTATGCATTCTAGTTTTTTCTGTCACTATGATTGTATCCTGGTGTTTGTCTATTTAATTCTAGCATCCACTTCATACACTTTTCTCTTTATCAGGCCATAAAACATCATGATCTTTCTATTTGTGTCACGTCCAAACGTTCTTGTACCTATACCTCAAACAATATTGGATGTCTTCTTAGCCTTTTTGGTCAGTTGATTTAAGTGGCTTAAGTATTTGAATTCTTTTACCACCTCTCTCTACTTACTAAATATCATTAATTTCGTCTTCTTTGCATTCATTCAAATTTTTTCCTTTCCATATATCTTCCCAAGCTACTCATCATTCCTTTCATTCTTTTTTCGTCCTTTGGTTTGATTACCAGCATATGCCCTCTCTCCACGTTCGGGGAAATCCTTTGCTCTTTCATTCATTATTCATTATTTCACACGTCCTCTTTCCGACCTCTTTCCTTCCATATATCCATGCTTCATTTGGTATCCCGTTCACTCCCGGTGCTTTGCCTCTTTTAGACAATCTACCTGTCTTGCTACTTCTTCTCTACTGACTGCTTCTTTCCTCTTGATTGGGCATACTAAACTTTTGTTTTTGATCGTTCCCTCATTCGCTTCTGGTAATTCCACAAAATGTTTCCTCCATTGTTGAATCTTGATCTCTTTTTTAACTGATGTCTTTTTTTCTTTCTTTCTTTATTAATGTAATTCCACGCTTCTTCCTCTTTTCGCTTTTGCCGTTTTTTTTCTTTGCATTTGTTCTGTACTTATTTCTTGTTTTTCTACTGTAATAGCTATGTATTTCTATTCACGCTTAGACTGAGTTTTTCCACCATTTCCTTTATGTCTCCTGAATATTTTGTATAACTGCTTTAAAGCTTTAGACTTAACCTTAAATTCGTGTTTCATATGCAATTCTTGTTGTCCTAATGGTAGACGTAAGTTGACTCGAAAACGTTATATGGGCTACATAATCAACCTCTGAAACTAATCTTTTTAAAGTGATTTTTTTTTGTGTGATCTTAAATTTCGCGACTATATCATAAATAAATTTACTTAAACACGTTCCAATTATTATTACTGACTGCCTGTTTGGAGAATATGTCTAGATCTTAGATCATATAATAAATAGATACCAATACTTAAACTGAAATCTGTGACTAGACATGAAGCTATCTGTTGTCGTTTTCTACGTCAAGGGAAGTAGTATAATGCTATCCTTGTGTGATCACCACATCTTCATCTTTGTTATATGCATTTCATCTGTATATGTCTATTTCACTTCCATCCTTGTACCGCACCAGCGCAACAAATCGCTTTTGACAGATGTTTCTTCTAACCTCTCTTTCGAGTTGTTGTACAAAAAACAATTTTAGAATTTAGAACAAAGATCCTATTTTAAGTGATGTAATCATAAACGATCACAATTGCTGCCCAATAATTTACTATTCCTTGTGTTATCTACTGTGAATTATTTATAAAATCAAGCTGTCAACATCTTTCGTACGAAGTTAGTTCAGACATACTTCCTAAAATTTAGGCGCGCAAAACTCAAATAGTGATCAGGCAAGGATAGCTTCATTGTAATCCCTCCATGCACGAGAGAGATGTGTGACAGGAGGATGTCGTCACAGGCTCTCCTCAGGAAAGAACACGGGATGGTGGTATCTATTTATTATATGATCTAAGGTCTAGATTCCCCATCGAGTTTGATTAAAATATCTAAATACTTTGGGAAAGATCATTGTTGTATACAGAGTCTTACTAAACGATAATTCAAGACCTTAATTCTAAAATAAACGAGAAGATACTTTTTCTATTTGAAATTTTGAAACGCAACCAATTATTTAAATTTTACTTTACTTTTTCTTTTTTCTTGATTTTCTCTTTCTATCGCCATCTTCTAATGTATTACTTAAGTCGATATTTGCGAACACTATGCGGTCTACACTTAATCAACGTATTTAAAAAAGCGTGAACAGAGCAAAGGTCAGAAAATCTTGAGGCCTGCTCTGGATTGAGCCGAATAATCGATATTTTCCAGCATCTCTGTCAGGTGGTGTGCAGTTGCGAGAGCGGCGAGGCAAGGCCCAGTTGACCGGGACGAGATGAGGCATAAAACTGCATTTTACAGTGTACCACGAACGTGAACCATTTCGGCTGTCCAAATTTCAACAGGTAAGACTCATTTCTTTTTTTAATGGCTGTACCATGAGAATAAAACGTGTGCCGGAATGCAAAATATGTCTATCCTGGCGACCTCTTTCCCCTACTAGCACCCGCTCCTCCCTCGTACTGGAACTCGAGGGAAAACTACGAGTTAAAGTTGCTCTAATGACTATCTTTGAAGTGTGATTGTGCTGACCTTTGCCATGAGACACGTCAGTGATTTATTTATTCATCGACTGCTAGCTTTATGACTATTCACTGAATCGGAGATTATTTTAAACGTGGTTACAACTTGAGAAAGCTCGTGTGTACTATGGTTGTTTGAATAATTGAAGGAGTCATATCGATTGCGGAGCTATTTACTTTTTTTCAGCCATTTATTACCGCAGGGGTTGAAAGGAAAAACCTGCGAAAAACCTGTAAATTAGTGCCTTCCGGTCACATTTCGTTCCATCATTGTCAATCGATAGAGGAAACTGTAGATATGTAGGCACAGAGAAGGATCGTTTTCCATTTTTCAAGGAGATTTCATGTCGGAGCCAAAAATGCATCAATTAACTGAATTAATTAACCAATTTAATTGGAGTCGTTTGTTACGGTAACTTTCCTGCCGTAGATGTTCTTATGGCGACGTTTTTCACTCTAATGCACTATATTCCTCTTACAGGATTTATGGAAGTCGTTTAATCTTTTAAATTATCTCTGTAGGCTGAAAATTCGGATAAAAAATGTTGCTTCAGGTTCTAACCTGGCGCTTAAAAATTTGAGGAAATAGCTTCTAGCAAGTAGTTTTAACAGATTCCATAAAAATCCGGAAAATCAAAGTTGTTTCTAGAATGCAGCTGAAAATCAAATAGGGCGTGTTTGTAAATTTTCAAAACAAAATATAAACATTTTCAGCAAATTGTGACAGTTATACAGATATATGTAACAAATTAAACATGGTAAAAAGCCAAATTTTGGACTGTTAAACTTCACTTTTGGATTAAGCGATTATTAACAAATATATGAATTATTTATTTCCTATTCATAAATAATAATCAGAGTAAATAATAAATGTTGCCCTCTGTTTCTGTAGAATTTGTAAAAGCTGGTACGTGACATGAACGCTAGAACACATAAAAGGAAACGAGGAAATCACTGAAATTTTAAGGAGGAGTGGGAAAACATGAAAAACTCCTGAAAAAATGTAGAAATACGATAACAAAAGACTGGAGAGCTGGATGAAATTTGAACTTTAATTAAAAATGTGTTAAATGCAAGGACGTTGTAATTAAATACAACAAGCAGAGAGAGAATTTAAAACTAAAAAAAATTGGTCAGAATTTTGGAAAAATTACATAAACCACTTTAGTTTTGGTCTATAAAATTAACTAAAAAAAAATAAAATGATGTTATTAAAGGCTAAACAACGTTGCATGTAGATGCGCATTTAAAACATTTTTTTATACATTTTTGTAATGACCTCATTAACTTTCTAAATAAATGTTAATAATTGTTCTGTAATCATTAAATCAGTATTGGTATTATAAAACTCAAACACCCCGTCAAAATGATTTATCAATAATTTTAAACAACAAAGAATTTACACGAGATTAAATTATCGTTAATTCAAAAATCACAATAAGCTGGTCTGGGAAACGCTGCGCTTTAAAGCGCCGCCATCGAGGATAAATGTTCGAATTCAAGTTGCAAAAATATTATTAAATCTGCAAGAGAGTTATTAAACCTGCAACCAACTATTAAACCTTTAAGGAAATATTGAAGCTCTCTCATTTTTCGAGTCCACGAAAATGTTGACTGATAAAAATTTCATGGTCATTTCTTTCAAAATGTATTACCGTTTAAATGTCATAAATGAACTATTAGCCATATTTTTTAGAATTGCTTGTACAGAGTGATTAAAAAAAATGAATGACTCAATTTATTTTACTGATTAAATCAGGAACTGCAAAACCGAATGCTTTGAAATCTTTCAGACGTTTTAAATTTTTGGTAAACATGGTAAATTTGTCACCAAAATGTATCTGTATATACCATCCAAAAATCATATCGAAAATGTGCAAATTATATATGTTGAGTCTGGCCTTGTGATTTATCATTGCTTTAATATTTTTTATTATTTATTGTAATCAAGTCCATTGGCCGACCCCCTACGTTTATGTTTTCTCTACCTTTCATGACTCCTAGAGTACGAAGAAATAAGTCTATCGTTTCCGTCTGTCTGTCTGCTCGTCTGTCTGTCTGTTCGTCTACCGTCCCGATTTTTATTAGACAAACAAAACAAACAAATATTAGTCATTTTTATTTGTTATAGACCCTTCTAAAACAATGTAATTAATTTGTAATAACTAGCGCCATCTATCTGAAAATTGAGGAACAACAAAGCTAACTGTCATTTTCATATATAAAACTATGTAAAATAAACAATTCTATCCTCTTTATATAATTTGGGAATAAGATATATGTACTCAAGGGATAAGTAGCTTGGCCTATGAAATTTGGATCACCGAAAACATCTTCATCTTTCACCAAACTTTTGATAGTTTTTGAAGTTTTGAATATTTCAGATTTTGGATATTTCAATTTTTAGATTTTTGTTTTAATTTGTAATTTTTAATTAGGGGCATATATTAATTCGAATTTTACCACTTTCACCGCGTTTATTTATATTGTGTTGACTGAGAATTTTGTAACAAGTTGTTTTAGAATTTAAAAAAAAAAATTATTTTCCGATTTTACAGTTTCTCAATTTTCCGATTTTTGTTATGCGATATTTAGATTTCACAATTTATCGAATTTGATTAAAATTTTTCTACTTATGAATTTTTACTTACTGAACATAAGCGAAGTGGAAGTACTATAATCGAGTCAATCCATGGACTCTATACTTTTACGTTTTCTCTACCTTTCATGACCCCTAGAGTACGAGGAAATAAGTCTACCGTTTCAGTCTACCGTCCCAATTTTTATTAGACAGATAATCTCCAAAAGTACTGGGCCGATTGTTGTCAAATTTTGTATTTATATTTGGAATATCATGTAGGTGGTAAAAGGCTAACCAAAATTTGTCTAATCATCCCCACCAATAACATAGTCCTACACATGCAGTTTATGATTTCGTATTGAGTTTTTACCCGAAACGTCCAGATTTTTGGAAAAAAATCAGGATTATAAAACAACACAAATATCTAAATTGTACAAAATATGATGAGTCCATACTTGTAATTTATCGTTCCTTTCATATATTTTGGATTTGCATATACAGGGTGACTCAAAAAATTAATGAATGGCTGAATTTATTTTATTGGATAAATCAAGAATTACAAAACTGAATACTTTGAAATCTTGCAGACGTTGTAAATTTATTGTAAGCATGGTAAATTGTTAATCAAAATATATCTGTTCATTTTCCCAAAAAATTGTTGACGTCATCTCAAAATTTTGCCGAATTCTACCCAGAATGTGCAAAATACTGCGAGTTTTTACTTGTGATTTATCATTGCATTCATATTTTTTAGATTTGGTTATACAGGTGGCTCAAAAAACTTAATGAATGAGTCAATTTATATTATTGATTAAATCAGAAACGGCTCATCATCACCAAATTGTGTAAAGAAAAATTCAACTCGAAAATGCTGGATATGTTTCATTGTACTTCAGGAGCGAGGGAAGTTCTGTCGAAACAACTTTCGACTAAATTTTTAGAATTATTTATACAAGGTGTCATTATTAGCATCACACTGCACCTATCCAAATTGATAGACATGACTTTGAAAAAATGTTGATGACGTCATCACAAAATTTTGTAGAGGAAAAACTATACTTCAGGGGTGAGGGAAGTTACGTCGAAATTAATTTAGACCAATCTTGTCCTTATTTTTAAATTTTCAAATACGGTTTCGCGACGTTTTTCCCCTTTTTTGCGTGAAATTTTAATTCGAATTCGGACACCTCACTATTGTGCCCACATTTCAAAAATGTGTCGTTTCGTGAATTGTAACACAAATTGTAAAATTTACTTATGCAAGTTTTATTTTTTTCTATAACTGTCTGTTAAAATATCATTATTAAAGCAAAAATAAAAGAATGGAATGAATGGAGAGCAATCGGTTTTGTAGTTTCCAAGTTACATTACAAAATTTTGTCGTACAACTTTGAAGTCAAAAAATCTAACTGTATGAAGATACAAATAAGAGTAGACTAATAAATCACACGTACAGGAAGTATATATTTTGTGTATTTTAAACGGGATATAAATAAAATAATATTTAATGTGGATGATCAAATCTTCCTAAAATTTTACAACAGTCAAGTCAGTAGTTTCGGAAATAATTTAAACAGCTAAATAGAGGGCAACGGAATATCTATTTTCTCATATTCTATTGGCTACAAAATGTTTTCTTATTTTTCGCTAAACGGACACGATTACAAAAGAAGTTAGAAAAATAGTGAAAGAACATATTGAAATACGAACTTGAAGAAGTAGAGTAGAGTTTAGTGACAAAATGGAGGGAAATGGGAATTGAAACAATCTGATAAGTGAAATTAAGTGGATTATTTTAGCCAGCAGTAACAAATGGAAGTACAATAAAATTAATGATGGTAATAATAATTCTTAAAGAAGAAGAAAATAAAGGAAAAGAAATGGAACCTAGATATGTTAGAGCGCGAAATTTTAAAAACTAACTATTTAACAGAAAGGAAATGAGAAGTACAAAACAGAATGATTTAGGCAGCTGAAAATAAGAGACGACAAAAGAATTTAGATAAAACAGGTTGACAGGAAATATTTGTTAGTGGCCAAATATTAGTCTCCAAATGCTTATAAAAATAAGGATTTTGAAAAGGTTAAGGAATGGAGAGTAAATGGGTCAAAAAATGGTGTCCGATAGAACAGAATACAAGAAACCAAAATAATTATTAGCTTTAGATATGGGAATGAAGAGAAAGAAAATAAATTGTTTTTAAATTACAAAAAAGACAAGGAGAACGAACGAAAGCAGGAAAAAGGTGGATATAGGAAGTATGGAAGAGGGATAAATCATGGACATTCCTAAAATCCACAGGAACAAAATAAAATTATAAATATTGTCAATCGAAATTTGACAGTTTCTCCAAAGAAGGTTTGACAAGACAAAAACCAGAAACTAAACTTAATTGCAGACAAAATTCTTCGCTAAGTTACAAAACAATTTTTTAAAAATAAATAGTTTTATATCCACTCCTAAACAGCAAAATCGAATAATACATAAAATATTAAATGAAAAAGATTTAAAAAGAAGTCACGGTCGTTACGATATACATATTTAATATAAGTTATTTTTGCTCACTACTTTAGGTTAACAGCCACTTTTTTTCATAAATTTTGCTTTTTTTGTTCCTACATTCGGGTTCTTTCTAACACCAATTCCTCCGAATCGCGAAAAAACCGGACGCAAATAACTTCAGACTAAATTTATTAACGTGCACATCCATAGTCAAGGTCTTACCACATTTATATTAATAATCGATATTATTGCAATTTGTTTTTACTTCATCTTTCTCTTGTTTTAAAACAGATTAAACAGACGTCTGGTGTATTTTATCAAGGACGTTTTTCCATTTATAAAATATCGAAAACACCTTCTTCGAAGCGTCATAACCTGATTACTAGCTGGAAACGGTACTGAATTCTTTATGGAATATTAAAGAAGTTTTAGATAAACGTCCAGTTAGCGATACACCAATTAAAATAAGAATCGATAGTATCATGGCAGAGGTTAGTTGTGGTCAGTTTATCGAATGGTGCGGACACTAACGTGATCATCGCGAGATGTAGGCGCCGGTTTCGCAATGGACTGCCTGCGGGGGTCAAAACACCCAAAAAAGGTATTTTTGTCCGTTTATAGTAGTATTAAAAAAAATGTTAGTTGTGGAACTTGCGCGAAACAATAGTCGAGCGCACGAGAATGGAATTGGGTGAGGCGGTAGTCGAGTCAAAAAAGTGTTCGAGTTGACTAATACTTAATTGTTAGTAATTGTGTAATTTTATATCTGTATATAATTCAATTTAAAATCTTATTCGAAAACGATTTTCAAATATTACTACTTTAATCACTAGATATAATTTTTGCGTTTATTCCAGATATTTTTCTTGCACTTGACAGTGTTAACCGGTATTCAGAATGCTGCCCAAACCGACTCATCTTGAAAACTCAGCAAAAACGGACACTTGATTTGTCAAAATTTTGAAGCTTTAGCCACTACATGTTAGACAGGATGACACACGTGACAGATATAATGTGGATTGAATTTTCACTTGACGTATACGTGACATTATGTTGCTCCCTAAATTTTCACTAGGTTGAATAAACCCACATCTGTGTATAATTTGACATTTCACTGTCGTTAAGTTTTCTCCACGACTTCAAAATATTATGAATATTTTATATGCGTCTCGGTCTATTCAGGTAAAAACTTGCGTATTGAATTTGAACTGTTTGTGCAGCTATTTTGCAAGAATGGAATTCCGTTCTATTTTGAAATTCGAACACTAACATAGTTGAGACGATACATTTGTTCCCATAAACTAACTCCGACTCGTTTCAGAAATGCCCACTGCTGTCTGAAGATGCTCGATAAAAGACTGTGGCCCAACGTCATATACTCAGTGATCCTCTTTGTCGTTTGCGTCACAGTATGGCAAATAACCACCGAATCAGAACCCCTTTCCACCGTCGCAGTCTACAGTTTGTATTCGTCCAACTCTTCGACTTATTCCTACCCTGTAAACACGCTCCCTTTCGACGACTACCACCAGCTCATCAACCTACGCAACTTTACCTTTACAATGCTCACTTTCCCCTGTAACGACTCAAACCCTCTTCTTCTCACTTTGGTTCATTCGGACCCTAGAAACTTCGACACGAGAAGGGCCATAAGGGAGACGTGGGGTCGAAACAGCCCTCAAGTGAAAACCCTGTTTGTGACAGGTCTGGTCAAGAACTCGACCCTAAAGGTCAAAATCGATAAAGAGAGTGAAGAGTTTGGAGACTTGATTCAAGGCTCGTTCCTGGACGCTTATCGGAACATGACGTACAAGCACGTGATGGTGTTCAAGTACGCCATCTACCACTGTCCGCAAGCAAAATACATCCTCAAGACTGATGATGACGTCTTCGTCAATATGCCTCTTATGATCAACTTTTTAACGTCGGACTTGTCACCGTTTGGGGGATCGAGGATGATCTTTTGTACTTTGAGGAGGAAGAGCTTGGTTGTGAGGAGCTGGAGGTCCAAATGGAGAGTTTCTTTTAAGGAATATCCAGCCAAAACGTACCCTCCATATTGCCCAGGCTGGGCCATACTCTATTCACCGGACGTAGTCTTCGAATTGTACAAAGAGGCCCAGAAAGCAGATTATTTCTGGATCGACGACGTCCACATAACTGGAACTTTGGTGAGCAAGATCCATGTGACGCATTTCAATATCGATAGCTTGGTACTTACGGATTGGGCCATGAGTAGAGCCATCAACTACCCGGCTTGGTTTAACCAAGCGTTCCTCTATGGAGCTCCCAATGTTAAAGATTCAGATATTAAGGCATTGTGGGACTACGTACAGAAACACGCAAATCACGCATCTTTATTGCGAAAGAATTACCTCGATGGATAATCAAAAACTCGACAGATGGAAGACTGTCCACAATCTATAGGTACTAGAAATTGAAGACTGTCAGAAAAACGGCCAAGTTTTTAGTAAAATCTCACTTTTTTTTGCAATGTTAGGATCTAGTTGAAGTGCCTATGGGTATTTAATTCTTCAATTTGTGCAATACGTTTCAGAGTATTCTATAATTGTTAAACTGTCCCTCGTGAGAGCTTAATCTCTTTCCGAGAGATAGTTGTGTCAAAGGGGTCCATGTAATTTAGTACCTAATGTTTAGGTAGATCAAAAAAGAGTATATTTTTATGTGTTAAGTAGCCACCGTGGTCTCTACCGAGTGAGATTGATTTGTAGACATGTTTCAAACCAATGCAAAGATTTGTCGTGTAAACTTAACTTACGACAAGATAAACTTGAAACTTGTCTTGCAGGAACATGGGAGTCCGTTTAGTACAAATTTTCTTGGTTGTTTTGTTTAAATTATTGTGTTTACGTTGTAATATAAAACGAAATGAAGTTACTAAAAGCGCTCTAAATTTGTTATGTATAAACATTATTTACTAGAAAAAAATTAGCGGAATATGTAGAATATTTTATTATTGGAATTATTATACTTAATAGTATTATATTCAGAAATTGAATAATTAATTATTGTTGGAGAAAATTACTAAATTAAAAATGTTACTTACCTGCTAGAATTAAAATGTACCTTTCTAAGAAACATATGAAACGTGCCAAGTTCAAGATTAAAAGCATTCGATTATATAGGTTGTTTTATTTTTAGACGTGTTTAGAGGGTTTTATTTTGGATGCATCATTGCTGATGGAAATTTATTTAAAGAAACGAAATTGGCTGGAATAACAAATTTTGTGTGAGCCTGAGCTTTGCTGAATGAAGAAAAATCAAAAATAGAACAAAGTGTAAGGCAAGTTGAATTTTTACAAATAAATCGTTTAACACTGTTAAAAAAGTGATTTGCAAGATGAAATTTGTTGTTCTCTAGTCGATGGAGAAAATGTTTGATTTAGAATACCTGTTCAATTATTCCCCCTAACAGGGTCTATCTCCCGTTGTATTTTTGTTTCAAATAACAGTCTGTTTTGGAAAGAGTGATAAATTCAGGTAATTGTGTTAGTGTGTTTACGGCTTTTTTATACGTTGTTTGTTATTTATTTGAGTTCATTTCTGTTTCTTCTGTTTACCCCCCGAAGTTCTGCGTTTATTTTTTTGTGTTTGCCTTGAATTTTAAATTTCGACTCTGCTCTTTAAGACGAAGAATTTCGTTAGACGTACATAAGTATTAAATAAATCAGTTATTTCCAGCGAAGTAAATAAAAGCAGAGAAAAATATTTTGGTGGTCATAAAATTTCAAGAAATAAAAAAGTAATAAAATTTTATTTTGAAGTCTGCGGTAACGTGGCCCATGTCCAACGATACCAGTAAATTTCCATGGTTTAGTTTATCAAAATAACAAAGTATCTTGGTCAATTTTTGTAGAACATTCTTGAGCAATGTCATGTGGATCGGCAGGAAAAACGTCGGTAACGATCTAGAGAGATTCAATTTTTTGAATAAAGATTTGTAAAAAAGAAGATGACGTCATCTGTTTTTGGGGAGGTTAAATATATTAATTTTAATGTCTATAATGTAGAATTGATGACAGCATTTCTGCAACTTTTGCTGCATTTTATTTGCCTCTGCTTAAAGTTTTAACAAGAATATTTTTAACTACGATTAAATCTGATCAGTTTCATCAAGTCAAATGTTCCAAACACAGTAAATTAGTTTCTGATTTTGTAACGGCGAAGTTCCAATATTTAATTTAGAATTGCCGAAATGTTTGGGCAATATTTATTAGGTGTTAGATCCGTTTATGTTTTCTTTTTTACATATAATATAAGAATTCCCTGAAGTACCTGTCAACAAGTTATTTTGATTTAAGAAGTAATATTCTGTATTTATTTTATCTCATTTGGATGATATTCGAAGAGAAGAAATAACAAAAGCGATTAAACTAAGAGTATATACGTATGTTTGTATGTACTGCATTTTCATGTTTTCTCAACGTTTCGTAAATCTTAGAATACGAAAAAATAGTTTTCCCATTTGGTCTCTCTGTTCTCTGTGGTCTACTGACACTTTTATTACTCCGAAACCATTGGTTTAACGGTTGTGAAATTTTAGAAATTATGTAGACAATAAAGCGCAAACTGTAATTTGTCCAACAAAAATTGATGGGTTATCTCATTTTTCAACCATCTTGGCTAATTAGCTAAAGACATTTTCGTGTAGATCTCGATCCCTAGAAGTTATTTTCGGCCTCATTTCGTCGAAAAATCCTACGACTTTTTGAAAATCGCCTATTGAAATCTGGGAAATCTTAGAATTTAAAAAAATTTGAAGTACAACGGAATATTTCGAAAATTTTGACTAGGAACCAGAAACACGCTATATTTTTCAAATGAGCATGTCGAAATCTATATTCTAGAATTTTTTAGGTCATTTTTCCAAAAGCTGAAGTTCTAAAATTAGCTAAAGACATATTTTTGAAGAACTCAATCTCTAGGAGTTATTTTAGGCTTTATTTCTTCGAAAATTCTAACATTTTTGCAGAATCGCTAAATGAAATATGTCAATTTTTAGGATACTTGAACAATATTTCGAAAACCTGGAACAATATTTTTTTTTATATTTTTCGAATTAACACGTTGAAATTTTAGATTTGTTTTGCAGATTTTTTGACAACTTTTCCAAAACCTCAATTTTGCAATATTCCCTCCCATGAAATTTTGATCATTTTTCAAATATTTTCGAAAATTAGTATAGGCATTTTTTTGTAGTTCGACTTTCAGAAGTTATTTTCGGTTCCATTTCTTTTAAAATTACTACCGTTTTTCCAGAATCCTCAATAATTGAAATATGGCAGTGTGTATGACTTTGAAACAAAAATTACTCAAATGGAATATAAATTTAATTTTGCGATTTTTTTTGTGATAACCTCTATGGACTTAAATATTAACGCATTGATAAACCGCAATAACAATTTCAAAATATTTTGCACATTTTAGCTAACCTTAAAAAGTTTGCAAGATTTCGAACCATTCGGTTTTCCAAAAATTGTGAAATGTCGTTATACAACTTTGATATTTTTTACAAATATCTGCATATCAAGGGTAAAAACTCAACACGGATTCATAAGTCACAAGTGTAGGAGTATGTAATTTTATCAAAATTGAATAACTTTTTTTCGGTAAAGGATTTTTGGGAAGGGGTAAACGAATAAATTTTGATTAACGATTTACCATGCTTCTGCTGCGAGATTTCAGAGCATTTGGTTTGGTAATTTCGTTGTTAAATTGCAAATTGTGTATAACCTTTTGATTTTTTTTCCAAAAATCTGAATGTTTCTAGGATTAAAACTCAACACGGATTCATAAACTACAAGTGTAGGGGTATGTATTAGTGTGGGTGTTTAGGCAAATTTTGGTTAGCGTTTTACCATTTACACGATATTCACAACATACATGTACAATTTGACAACATTCCCTCCAGTAATTTCGAAGATTATCTGTCTAATAAAAATACGGACAGACGGCAGACAGACAGACATACAGACATAAGATATACTACATTGGCCTGTAGTCTCCTCCTGACTTTTCTTCGTTTAATAATAAACTATTATTATTGCTGTTACTTATCTTCCTATTAAAATGACATAACTCTCGCAATAAATACATAGTATTAACAAAATAAATACCGGCAAAATTGTTCAAAGATCGAAAAAGCTGGAAAATATGTAAAAAATCGTCAAAAGCTTTTAATTAGATCAATTCGCGTAGGAGTAAGGGATCCTCTTCATCGTATTAATAAATAATCGATTTCAAATCGCAAATACCCCAAACTCTAACGATCAGATCAATGTTATTCGATCTCACATTGTTTGTTTAAAATATCATATCCTCTTCATGTACAAAAATGGGAACAATTTCGTGTTTTGCGTGTTAATATTTCAAAGGCCGGGGAGCTTTTGTTAGGTTTTTTGCGGCTTCTTTACCGGATGTGAGCTTGTTCGATTATATTATCGGAATCATCAAATATCTGGAGAAATTCATATAAAAAAACCCTTTTTTTAAATTTAGTGTGAAGTAAAAAAAACTTTTAAGGTTAAAGTATTGAGAATTAGTAATTAGTGTCTTTCTTTAGCACAATTAGCGTTGCCATTTGGTCTATTTCCACTAAGAGCATTTTCTAACCTCCACTTGCTTGTTTCTAGTTACAGATTGATGCGTGAAAATTAAACGTTATGTACTGTTACGTTGATCGGTGAATTAAAAATCGGCGTGGATAAAACTCAACAATTTATTTCTCAATAACTCAAATATACACGACTAACTGCACGGTGATTATGTACAAAGTAATTCCGGTGTAACTGGACTGGACTTTGTCTTGACTGAAATTGACTGAATAATCTCGTTCCACAAAGTGGCCTCTATTTAAACTCATACTTCCCTTCTAGAAGTTCCGCATCGAGGTCTTTCTGGAATATCCATCGCGAATTCTGCTTCTAGGCTTTTCTTTAGCGAACGTCGCCCGATCGCTGTTACCGACGATAAGTCACCCATCATCGCCATACATACCACAACCCATAGGCGTCGTACCGAGGCGGCGTATGGGTTTCTTTCGTAACAATACCTTCTATCATAGATAATATGTTTTGATGGGTCTTTTCATGGATTAAACTTTATTAAACTAGTTGTAGATGGGTATTTTCTACTTAATTTTGAGAGAGAAAATAACTTCTGATAAAAAATTGTTGCCATAAATATCTCACAGAATGTACAGGTTCTCAATTCCGGGTTTGTATTTTGACCTAATATCACTTAACGTCGGCACTACAGTCCAATACTGGAATATCCAAGTTCAGTCTGGAGCGTTGAGTGGGTTAAGTACGATAGATACACTTATTGAGCCTGTTCAGAGGTTAACCACAAAGATTCCTTATGGCTACAACCATTCCACCTATGAAGTTCGACACTCTAGTCCCTATATGTTCAGTTTAATGGACTGACGTGCTAGAAGTGAATTAATTCGGATCTGTTGCATTCTCCACAACAATAAATTATGCTTTGTGATCTGATATCTCTAAATCGTAATGATCGACTGACATGATACAACTTCAAATTAAGTAAACAGAATTTTTGACAATGGTCGGTTCCACTCTCAATTACTTTTTTTTTTTAAGAAACTAATCAAGGTTTGTCTTTTTCAAGAAATAGTGAGTACATTATTACTGTATTTTGATTTTACAAACTGTTTGAATCATGTAAATGCCTCGAATAGGTAGCCACTAAAGTAATTTAAATTTAAAATTAACTAAATTCAAACAGGCTATTGTTTATCTATTCAATGAATATCGAAGTATTAACTCGCTACAGGATTTGCCTGAAATCTGATTAACTAGTTCACCTTGTTGAAACCGCATATTATGTTATTTGATAATAATAACAATAATTGCTTTATTCCATAAACACCTACAGTGTTTGATTCGGATAACACAAATGTATATACAGCGACTATGTACACAGTTGCATAGCACGTACACCTAAAATGCATGTAAATACAATTACAATTGTTAGATATTACTTACAATTGTATTTTGCAGAAATTTCTTCAATAGTGTTTACAACATGTTTCCTCAGTTAAATATTTTTAAAATTTTATTTTCAAAC